AAAAAAGTTTTTAGAGAGTACTTGTCCATGGACAAGTGAGTTTGGCAATTTACTTGTCCGAATACATTTTTCACTTGTCCAGAATGGACAAAAATTGGGGCCACTGGAATCTTCTTCTTCGTCATCGTATTTTACATTTTCCCACGGTTTTTACGACACCGCTAACGTAAGTGAGCGGTAAGATTTTACTGCATCACACATAGGGTTGGGTATCGTTTGGATTTGAACGATTCTGGTTCTGCTTTTCGATTCCGGTTATTTTCGGTTCTCAATTCCGGTTCTTTGAGAGGGTAAAAATAAGTCAAACTGGGAGAAAAATATATTTATGAAAAGATTAAGTCAAATCTGTATTCCTATTTACAAATCACTTCATACTGTTGAATTTCTTACGGTTATTGAATACAATTATATAAAAATAATCTCTGCATTGTTTAGTTAGTTCTGGTGCAGTTTGAGAATGTACAATTGGCCCAGTCTCCTCTGATGTTACACTGCAACCTGCCTGTGAGACAAAGTCCAACCACACATGTCCAACACATAGGACATAACCTAATAATAATAATAATAATGACACATTAGATGTATAGCCTATAGGCCTAGCGCTTTTCTACAACTCAAATACGCTTACACATGTCCTGCAATACACATGCTGCAGCTGCCCAGCTGCTCACTGTTTGTAAAAGTAAATAAATAGTATTTTCATTTCAATAATGTACCTTCTATACCCTGCTTCATAAACAATACTGACATCCAGTGGCGTGCACAGACATTTATAGGGGCAGGTGCTCAAGAGAAAAAAAAGGGGCACCTTCTGAGTCGTTGTGGCGGTCGCGCCGAAATTGTGCGCAAAAATTTGCCGGATAATGGCGGATTTTGTTACGTTTCTTTTTGGTTTTTGGTTACTTTATTTCGGGGTTAGGGTTATGTTATTTAATTCTTATTTTTGCCTGATTTTACTGATTTATTATCAACATTTTTATTATTTTAACATTTATTTTTATTATTCTAAATGACTTAGGGGGGTCCAATCTGAAGCTAGGGGGGGATGAAACCCCCCCCCCCCCCGGGATTGACGCCCCTGGTGGAACCGCCGGCTGCCTTAGTAGTGTGAGATTTATTAAAAGGCACATCTTGTATGTCGTAATTGCATATATATTTATTTCAATAACCATATGCTGTCTGATGCAGATGCCTATCTAAAACAAATCAAATAGTAGGCTTACTAGCTTCTACACGCTAAAGAAACTGTAGTCAGGGATGCAAACTCATCAGGTATGAAAAAGGTGACAAGGATCCGAGCCCCCGACCCCACGGAATATCGGCTTTAAAATGAGGAATAACAGAGGATTTTAGCAGTCAGAACAACTAAAGCAGCAGGTAATAATAACAGAAACGCCAAAGAGTTACATCTAATAGAAATATATAAAAGCATTTATTTTAATTGTGTAGCAGTCAGTTTATAATTTTGGCAGCACTGTTGAGCATTTTGAAAATGTATTTTCATGCCTCTTAGTATTTTTATAATACTTTTCTACTTTCACTTGAGGAACATTTTGAATGCAGGACTTTTACTGTAACAGAGTATTCCTACACTGTGGTACTTCTACTTTTACTCAAGTACAAGATCTGAGTACTTCTACTTTTATTAAGTACAAGATCTGAGTATTTCTACTAAAGTACAAGATCTGAATACTTCTACTTTTACTCAAATACAAGATCTGAGTACTTCTACTACTAACAGCTGTTCACCAGCGGTGCAGTCTGTGCCACAGTGACTCCGCACAGTTAACGAACGCACCGTAGCTAATGTAGCTGACCCTCATCCCGGAGCAGCAGAGTTCAGCCGGCCCGACAGGCAAGAAGACTCGAGCACACAGCTCGCGCTTCATATATTAAAAAATAACACCATGCGCACATAACAGCTCGCGACCGCAGATTATTTCGGCGATTAGATCAAATGTAAATTATATTTGACGCAACTTTAGTTACATTTCCATGACTTTTCCAAAACTTTGGGAAAAATATTGTTTTCCATAACTTTTCCAGGGCCTGGAATTTTCATTTTGAATTTCCATGACTTTTCCAGGTTTTGAATGACCGTACGGTACGAACCCTGTATAGTTTAGTTTGGCATCTGATTTAGGGGATTAAACAATACACTCATTGTATTTGTTACCTGTTGGTTACTGACTTGGTCGTCACTAGGGCACTTTTAATCGTGTTGCTGCGTGCTGCTGCACCACACACCCGCCGTGGCCTGTCTGACTGAGTGACTGACTTAGTGATGTGTCGGTCGCGAACGAGCCGGCGCAAAGAGCCGGCTCTTTTAAGTGAACGACGGGAGCCGGCTCTCGCCCGCGAACGAGCCATTTTTGCGGAGGGATCTAGATCGGCATGAAGGCACATTTGCAATGTGCACATTATCCCGCTTATTACATGGCCACATTCTCAACAAAGTAACGACATGACTCCCAATAGTAATGGAAATGCTTTTATGGATTTAGAAAATGATTTTATTGATTTAAAAAATAGTTTTATGTATTGATTTAAATTGACATGCATCCGCTAAGAAAAGTAGTCCGTTGTTACTGTTTGAACTAACGTAGCAACGGCAGGAACTGCTTCGATAGTGCTTTTGATTACAGATTTGAAAACATCGTTGCTTGCTTTAAAAGTAGCTCAATTCATTATGTCAAACCTTGGAAAGTATCTAGATATCCCTGCCCTAATGCCAAAGGAACTGCACACTGAATATGTGTCGCCGTTTGATGTCTATGTCTGGACCGCTGCGTAAAAAGGAGGGTTTCTGCCCCATTACTTCTCTTCTTACTTCTATAAGAATAAAACACGGAGGACGGAGATCTCTTTTTCTCCCCCTCTTCTGACAGCCCAGCAGCTGATCTCAGAGCACGCTCCCCTCTCCTGCAGGGGGGCGTGGTCAGCTGCAGCTCACAGAATCAGCCCCCTGCAAAAACAGCGCTGGATGGAGCAAAAAGAGCGAAATGAGGCATGGCTAAAATACAGGATCTTTTTGGTATTTTGAAAAAAAAACCTATATTTATATACTTTATATAGGTCGATACAGTAGCCCCTTTTTTTAAATAGTTTTTATAGGTGTTGCTATCTGTTTTGTGTAGTGTGGTTCTACAAGCAAGTCAATGCATTCATTGGGTGGTATCAGAGAGTTGCACGGGTCTGTAAATGCAATGAAAACAATTGGCCACAGCAAATCATTTATATTAAACATGTAATTTTTACTTTTGAATACTTCAGTACAAAGGATGTATTGAATAATGTAAGTGATATATGTGTACAAATATAAATCATTAGTCAAAACAGGGCTACATTTGATTTAATTAAAAGGTATAATAAGTGGTAAACTGAAGAGCCGTTTGGGAGCCGAAAGAGCCGGCTCTTCTTGGTGAGCCGAGCCAAATGATCCGGCTCACCAAGAAGAGCCGGAATTCCCATCACTAGACTGACTGTCAGCTCTGCGCGCTCACGTTGAGAGCAGGGAAGGGAGGGGCTGCAGCCAGGAGTACGGGAGTGCCGCGGGGCACGCGTGGGGATGTCTGACAAAATTACAACGCGCATTTGGGGCATTGTTGTATATATTAGAAGCTTTTAATCCAGAATTGATCGATGTTACCATGAGCCACATACAGTACACTGTAATTTTTTTTTTAAACTGTAAAAAACGAACTTTCAAAAGGGCACATTGCTGTCCAGAGGGCAAAACGGGCAGGTGCTCAAGCACTACCTAGAGTCTATGTGTGCACGTCTCTGCTGACATCCCTGTGCTCCTCTGAGTCTGGGGGTCCGGGGATGTGAGGACAGCGCGAGGACACAGACAGGGAGGTTGCTTTACTTCATAAAAGGAAATGGTGGTCAATATTAACAACATAGGAGTTAAAACGCTTAATAACCTTCATTATGCGTTAGAGAAAGAACATAAGAAAGTTTGACAAAGATGAGGCTGTTAATCGGGCAGCGGATCCGCTGTGTGTAGAAAGAGAGAGAGACGCTGAGCTGCACCGTGCAGCGATCAGCTGATACGGAGCATAGATAGAGCTGCAGTACGCGGGGCTCGGCCTCGCCTCCTGTCCTCACAACTCTTATTAATCCCGGTACCGGACAATTGATATTTGTTCCTAATCGGAACCGTGTTTTGCTTCCCAACCCTGCCACTGTGCTACACTTCCCACCCGCCCCGCCCCGTCTAACTGTACAGAAAGCGGCGAGATGCATTTCCTTAGGAATCGACAAGCAGAATCTAAACGAACAATGGCGGACACGTACAATTTGCGATTGAGTTCTGCCTTTTGTAAACTGAATGTATCAATAATTTGTCAATAAATCAGGCCGAAAAACGTCACTTGTCCGCCGGACAAGTCAATTGAAAGATCTACTTGTCCGATATTGTAAATAACACGTCCCGGACGGTGGGACGTGTACTTTTTCGCACACTGCTACCCCACCTTTAAAGTCAAATTTAAAATAGAGCAATACAAAAACAATCACACACTAAAAGCCAGATTGAAGAGGTGAGTTTTTTGAAGGTGGTGAGGTCAGTGCAGTCTCTGATGGGTTGTGGGAGTGAGTTCCAGAGGGAGGGGGCAGCGACGGAGAAGGCTCTGTCCCCCCCAGGTCCGGTGATTGGTGCGGGTGGGGATGGATAGGAGGTTGGCTTCTGATGAGCGGAGGCAGCGGGAAGGGGTGTGGTGGTACAGCAGGTCTGTGAGGTAGGGGGGGGGGCCTGATTGTTGAGGGCTTTGTGAGTAATGAGGAGGACTTTGAAGTTGATTCTTTGACGGACGGGGAGCCAGTGGAGGTTCTGGAGGACGGGAGTGATGTGGTCTCGGGAGCGGGTGTGGGTGAGGAAGCGGGCAGCAGAGTTCTGGATATGTTGGAGTTTATTCATTAGGTTGGATGGTATGCCGTAGAGGATGCTATTGCAGTAGTCGTGATGTGATGAATGCATGAATCAGGGTTTCAGCAACAGAGGAGGAGAGTGATGGGCGGAGACGAGCAATGTTTTTGAGGTGGAAAAAGGCGGTCCTGGTGATGTGATTGATGTGGTGATTGAATTTGAGCTGACTGTCGAAGATGACTCCGAGGTTGTGGATGTGAGGGGGGGGGATAGAGTATTGCTGTCAATGGTGAAGTTGACATTCTGGATGGTTTTGGTACGGGATGGGGGGCCGATGATAATGATGTCTGATTTGGCACTGTTCAGTTGGAGATAGTTTGTTTGCATCCATGCTTTTATTTCTGAGAGACCGTTGGTGAGAGTGGAGTGTGTTGTGAGGGTGATGGTTTTTGTTGAGATATAAAGTTGGATGTCATCGGTGTAGCAGTGAAATTGAAGGTTGTAGCGACAAATGATTTTGCCAAGGGGGAGCATATAGATAGAGGATGAAGAGGAGGGGGCCAAGCACCGAACCTAGGGGGACGCCTTGGGACAGAGGAGCAGTGGAGGAGGTGCAGTTGTTGATGTTGATAAACTGATGTCTGTCGGTGAGGTAGGATTTCAGCCAGGAGAGTTTAGTGTCGGTGGTGTTGAGTGATGATTCGAGGAGGGACAGCAGGATGGTGTGGTTGATGGTGTCGAATGCTGCGGTGAGGTCGAGGAGGATGAGGATGTTCAGGTTGCCGGAGTCAAAGGAGAGGAGGAGGTCGTTTGTGATTTTGAGAAGAGCTGTTTCCGTGCTGTGTTTTGATCGGGAACCAGATTTAAATGGTTCAAAAAGGTCATTTGATTGAGGTGGGATTTTAGTTGTGAGGCAACGACACGTTCAAGTATTTTTGACGGAAAGGGGAGATTTGAGATGGGCCGGAAGTTGGACAGGATGTCAGGTGTGAAATACACATATTCTGTTCCCAAACTCTAAAATGTTGATAGCTCAGCTTTTAGAGTGGGTACCAATGTACTAAATCTTACCTTTTGTTATATCTTTATGCTTAAATGTTTTCTGTAAAGCACTTTGAATAGAGAGGTGCAGTGATGACATATTTTTGTAGGGAAACCTTACACCTTTTTGTAGAATATTGCAGAAAATAAGATCTGTGGAAAACAGGATAATCTCAACATATTAACATATTATGATTGAAGCTTGAATGCGGTGTGTTAAAAAGAAAAAAACAGCTCAACACACTCTGAAATACACATATTCAATTCAATATTCTGTTCCCAAACTCTCCTAAAATGTGGATAGCTCAGCTTTTAGAGTGGGTATCAATGTACTAACGTGGAAAAGCAGCGTTCAGTTATTATGCTCCAAATATCTGGAACAAACTAGAAACCTGCAGGTCCGCTGCAACTCTGACTACTTTTAAATCCAGACTAAAGACTTTTCTTTTTGTCGCTGCTTTTAATTGAACTATTCACATCTTAAACTGCACTGTAACTTTTATCACTGTAACTTTTCTTTTAATGTTTATTTTATTATCTTTTCTTTTTAATGACTGATTTTAAATGCCATTTTCTTAATGTCTTTCATTTTTTGTAAAGCACTTTGAATTGCTTTGTGTTGAAAGGTGCTATATAATAAACTTGCCTTGCCTTGCTAAATCTTACCTTTTGCTATTTCTTTATGCTTAAATGCTTTCTGTAAAGCACTTTGAATAGAAAGGTGCAGTGATGATACATTTGTGTAGGCAAACCTGACCATTTTGTTTTTAGTATTGCAGAAAATAAGATCTTTGGCAAACAGCTCAACATTGTTACCTCTAAACTCCATGAAGCAATATCGTAAATAAACTTAAAAGACTCCTATCATGAAAAAAAATCCCAATATACTTTCCAAAAGTCCTGCGTTTATGTGGACTCTGTACCCATTTATACTTTATTGTTGAAGTAAATGGCTAACACATTACATCAGGAAAGACTGAGATGTTATTCTGATGATAGAGTAAGTGTGAGATCTGGAACCCTGCACTTCTCTTTTTGCAGCTGCTTTTTATAATCAAATAACTATTGATTTTTTTATACTGCATTCTATCTTTTATTCTTATACTTGTGTTATTATTCTATTAAAGCTTGTTTCAGTTTGTTTTCACTTGACTTTTAAATGACTGAAACGCAATGCTTTGTAATGTTTTATGTTAGGCACTTTGAATCGCCTTGTTGTTGAAATGTGCTGTATACATACACTTGTAATAATTGTATACATTTGATTTTCTATTCAATTTGTAGTTTTTTTTAGCGTATAATGAATAAACATGTATATTTGTTGCCTGCCTGAACTTGTTTTTGTGACACAGATTTCATTATTTATGTACAGCTAATTTTATTTTTAGGGACATTTCATATTCATATAAAGTGATGGCCTGACTCCAAACATTTCTTTTTACATTTTACCCAAGAACTTAAACAATATTTAAAAACATTATGAATAAAAAGCTAGATTGAAAGATAACTGTAATTGAAATCTGTTTATAATGCATTCACCCAGTCGAAGATGTATTTTGTTCTTTCAAACTTTGTGGCTCTCAGCCATATTGTGTGTTTATCTCATGGATGTATAATGTTTAACTAGTTCACTCTTAATTTCTGAAACATGACGCTCGGTTGATGATTGGTCAAATGCTGCAAACCCCGCCCCTCACATCCAGACTGGAGTTCTCTGGGCTGACGGCTGACCTGATAACAGCGTCTCAGCACTGCCTACAGTGGGATCGCGTTTAGTTGAGTCAGAAAACACAAAGATATCCTCGGTATGTTGAACCGTTTAGTTTAGGACATCCAGTTCAGAATCCCTCAAAAACTTTATAACTTTAACGAACTTTCTTAAGTTGCTTCTGCAAGGCACAGTGCTTCCTCAAAAGACACCATTTTGATCGTTTGAACATTCAACACACACCAAGGTAAGGTAAACATTTCCTGCATATTTCCTGCTTCAGAACGTCAGACTCTAACACTTCACATTTGTAATATGAACAGTCTGGTGGGTCATGGTCCAGGTCATGTGATGTTATGTTCCCATAACATGTCCATGTGCCAGACTAACACATGTGACCAAACTAGCTACATTTCAACAGCTGTTTTGTTGTTGCTAAAGGTGAAATTCAAGTCATTTAAGAATTAAAATGCTTACATAACATGTCCTTTATTACATTTAACCTGTTGTGGAAACATGTCTTGATCAAATTGGTATGAAACAAATGAGACAAACATCGCTGTGACACTGATGCAACATCGGAACTTTAACCCTAAACGTTCACAGTAAACCCGGAGTGACATACAGTGGGGCAAAAAAGTATTTAGTCAGCCTGACTCAGCCACCAATTGTGCAAGTTCTCCCACTTAAAAAGATGAGAGAGGCCTGTAATTTGCATCCTAGGTAACTTCAACTATGAGAGACAGAATGGGGGGAAAGAATCCAGGAAATCACTTTCCTTTAAAAAAAAATTAATTAATTGGTAAATTCCTCGGTAAAATAAGTATTGTCAAACACAGAAAGCATACATACATAGACCCTCACATGTAAAAGAGACCATTCTACCAGGGTCATCATACGTGCTTTTCATTTTAGCTGTAGAATTGCATTAAGTGCACAGATTTGAGTTAATGTTGACTTTGCAAAACTGTGTAAGTTGGCCATATGTAATTATTAACTATCCTGTGTCTTACAGGCATGATGAATTTGCAGGAATACTTCATAAGAATTGGTCTTCAAGGCTCCTTTGACAAACCGGATCTCGAAACACTGAAGCTGATCCACAAACAGCACGTCATGTCCGTTCCTTTTGAAAACCTCAGCATGCACTGTGGCGAGCGGCACATCCTGGACCTGGAGTTCACGTTCAACAAGATAGTGAGGAGCGGCCGGGGGGGCTGGTGCCTCGAGAACAACTCCCTGTTTGGCTGGGTGCTGAGAGAAATGGGTTACGACACTACCAGGTTGTCCTCCAGAGTTTTCGACAGTCAAACCAATACATTTTACCCCACCGAAAGTCATCTCATCCACAAGGTCGTCGTCGATGGAAAGGCTTATATAGCAGATGTGGCCTTTGGGGTGTCTTTCCAGATGTGGGAGCCCATGGAGCTCGTCTCTGGAAAGGATCAGCATCAGGCCGCTGGCGTCTTTCGATTCTTAGACAAGGGAGACAAGTGGGTTCTGGAGAAGACGAGCAGAAAGACCAAGGTTCTCAATCCAGACTTTGCTGATTCTAGTCTTGTGAAGAGGCAGGAGACGAGGACGATATACTGCTTTACCTTGGAGCCTCGAGAAGTTGAGCATTTCTCCGAAGCAAACAACACACTTCAGACAGATCCTAAATCGCTGTTCATGAATAAATCCATCGTGTCTCTGCAAACAGCGACAGGATTCAGAGCGCTTGTGGGCTGGACCTACAGCGAGGTCACCTTCAAACCAGAGGAAGGTGTCGATGTCTTCGACCTGAGAAACATAGAAGATGAGGAGAAAGAGCAAGTTCTTCTGGAGAAGTTCAATATAAAGCTGCAGAAGAAACTGCAGATTGTAAGCAAGAAAACCTGCTACACACTCTAAAACAGTGGTTCTCAACTGGTCAGGCCTCGGGACCCACTTTTTCCTTTGTCAATAAATCGCGACCCGACATTTTGAAACACTCAAATCTATTCAACAAAAATACGTGCAGTAATATATACGCTTTTCAGCATACATTATTAATTAAAGTGAAGTACAGTGCATATATCCCTTATATCCTTTCACAGAACTAAAGAATGCTTTTAAAAAAGGTTTAATGACATGATGGAATCAAAGCTGAACATAAAAAGGCACAATGCTGATAACCCAACCCCAGCAGGGGGGTCTGGGGGGATTGTCCCCCAGGAGATTTTTAGAAATACTAACATATAAACTACGCATTCTGGTACACTCTGAGAAGAAAATAAATAAATCTATTGCTACCCGACATATTAATAATATTTTATGCCATTGTTTGTTTTTCACTTAGTTCTGAAGCTGAACTTGCTGCTCCACACAGAGAGAAGAGTAAAGAGGAGATAGGCTGTGTGAATTACTTTAAATTGTGGGTTAGATAGCTCCCATTGTTCTGTGACCTGTCAATCATCAAACCGGGGGTCAGACTGAAAAAACATCTGCAAAGATGTTTTATTGAGAAGATGATCACTACGTGACAGAGGTTTTCAAAACCGTTTATGGTTTCCGTTACTTCCAGTCCAACGCCTACTGCATGCACAGCGTTAGAAAATCGGGCTTTCAAAATAAAAGTTTGACTTTTTTCCAAAAAAAAACACACACATCTGCGACCCACTCGAAACGACCCACCAGTTGAGAACCACTGCTCTACAATACACATATTCTGTTCCCAAACTCTCCTAAAATGTGGATGGCTCAGCTTTTAGTGTACCAATGTACTAAATCATACCGGTTACACTATATGTTTATACCTAAATGTTTTCTGCAAAGCACTTTGAATAGAGAGGCGTAGTGATGAATAGGGATGTGGCTAAGTGGATAGTGTGCTGGACTTTGAATCAGGGGGTAGAAAGTTAGAGTCCCACTGCAGTCAGCATGTCGTTGTGTCCACAGTACTGAATGTATGTAAGTCGCTTTGGATAAAAGTGTCTAACAAATGACATGACGTATTCTTGTAGGCAAACCTGACACCTTTTTTAGAACATTTTAATCTCTAAACTCCATGAAGCAATTCATTAAATCCTATCATGAAAAAAATCCCTCTATACTTTCCAAAAGTCCTGCGTTTATGTGGACTCTACCCATGTATGCTTTATTGTTGAAGGAAATGGCTAACACATTACATCAGGAAAGACTGAGATGTTATTCTGGAGTAAGTGTGAGATCTGGAACCCTGCACTTCTCTTTTTGCAGCTGCTTTTTATAATCAAATAACTATTGATTTTTTATACTGCATTCTATCTTTTATTCTTGTACTTGTGTTATAATTCTATTAAAGCTTGTTTGTTTTCAGTTTTTATTGCCTTGTATTTGAAATGTGCTGTATGCATACACTTGTAATACTTGTTTATATTTGATCTTCTGTTCAATTTGATTTGTAATTTTTTAGCTTATAATGAATAAACATGTATATTAAATATACATGTTTATTGATTTGTTGACTATTGAAGGCCTATTGGACCAGAGGGCAGGAGGCGGGACTTCCGCTTCTTGCCCCGCCCTTTATTTGATTTACACCAATCACATTAGAGATGAGCACGCACAGCAAACGCTGATTGGCTTACGTGGCCTGTCGTTCAGCTGAGGGGGAAGCAGCGGTGCAGCCAACAGCAGGCTGCTGGGACTAAAGGCTCAGATATGAACTCCTTGGAACAGGCCGAAGGTAACCAAGACAAAAACGAAATCACATTTTTAAATTGCTGCCGTTTAGGTTTAACCTCATAGCGAAAAAACCCAAAGCACACGTCCTAAGAACGGTATACAAAGTTAGATGTAACGTTGAGTTAGCTAGCTAGTCTTCTTACGACACCTAGCATGTTTGCTAGCTCAACCAATAGCAGCTGTTTGTATTGGTGTTAACGTTAGCTAACACATGTTCTGTTATTTAGGCTGTTAGCTTATATTAATCGAGATGGAATAGCTTTATTGACAGCTAGGTTTCACCAACAGGAAGTGTAACAACAGTACATAACGTTTTGGATCTTTAACAGTCTTATTTTGTCACGTTTTGCTCCTGTATTAGCTCAAGTTTAGCGTGGAATTGACATCCAGAGGTACTCAGATCTTGTTCTTGAGTCAAAGTAAAAGGGTGTCTTGTGAACTTACTCCAGATGTAACTAAAGTGTTGTTTATATTTCACAAGTATCTAAAGGTATTAAATAAATGTTTTGGAATACAAGTACATGTTTAACCTCTGAATTGTAGTGAGTTAGAAGTACAATGTAGAAAATGTTACAGTACTTGAGTAAGTGTACATATTTACTTTACACCACTGAAAGTGACACACATCGAGCTTTAAAGTTGAGGCTGACATTCAGTAATGTCACATGATTGAAATAAGTTGTTTTTGTGTGCCATACACAGCCATGATTTTATTTCCAAATACTATGTTTTTCATTCAATGTTTCCACTTTCGTTTCAGATCTGAAGGCCTTTGAGAGGAGATTGACAGAGTATGTCTCCTGTTTGCAACCTGCAACAGGCAGGTGGAGAAGTAAGTAACTCACCTCATACCTTTTATTCATCAACATCTATTATTTAGTAAACCTTACGCTTATATGTTATTTGCCAAAAACTTGTTTTCGATTACAATGAATGTGAAGGCACCAATGACAAGTAAACAAATGTACAACTTGTTGTGGATAAGGCTGGGTGATTTGGCAAACATCTTAAAAACGCTAATTGCTTATGTCAATAACTATTTATATCACACGTATGTTGTCTGGTACCTCATAAATAAATAGTCTACATGAAATAACAACGTTTTAAGCCTATTTTTGCACAAGACTGTGTGAACGAAATACTTGACAAAAACCAAGTATTTTCAAATGTATTTAAAAACGTTTTCTTGTCTTGTTTCAGTGATTTTGATAGTAGTGTCGGTGTGTACGGCTACTGGGGCATGGAACTGGTTAATAGACCCGGACACACAGAAGGTATGTATCAGTGGACAAAATAAAAGTGTATATCTATATTTATGGCTTAAAGTTAAGACCCATCGTAAATATACATTTGTGCTTTTATTATTGAACTATTCAGCTTACAGCATTATAGCTTTTTGTATTTCTTATATAGGAAGTAAAGAATTGAGACTAAACATGTAATCATCAGTTGACTATTGTTTCTGCACATCAGCAACAAATAAATAAGGTTAATCTAAATGTCAGACTACAGAGAAAGTTGAGTCAATGTCTGCTGAAAGTATCAAAGAGTTTGTGGTTTAGCCCCATCATGTATTTGGTCAAATGTTGTGTTTAAAGTTTGCTCTTCATCATCGAGAATCAGCTTGCTTCATTCGTACAGTATGTTGCTCCAATGAATTTGGAGATGCCTCTTCCTGCCTTAAACGCAGTCTGATGAAACATGAGGACATACTGTACTTCAAGTAAGCTCTCAGTAGAGTTACTATGCGGAAAAGCTCAAGAAACAGAATGCAGGGGAATGTTTTATGCTATAACTTCCCACATTGGATGATAGGATTCAGGTTGAAAAGGCTTAGACTCACTAATGGCGCATTTCCACTGCAGGGCCTCACTCGGTTTAGTAGTTAGGCCTTGGTAGGCCAGGCTCACTTTATGCTGCGTTTCCATTACAGTTTAGGAACTGGGGCAGTAACTATGGTAACGCAGCGTAGGCGGAGCCGTGACGTCATCTTCAATGCGAAACACAAAACCAACATCAGTCGTTAGCTGTTAGCACTCAGAGCTCACAGCTCCTCATATCTGTTCAGAAACTAGACAAAAGTTAAACAAGTACAAACCACAGACTGCCTGTGTCATGGCGAATACAGTCGCTGCTTTATTTATGTCTGTATAGGCCGTTGTTGTGAGTGTGGACGGTCGGAGCATATACAACGTTAGCTTAGCCAATCTCCATTCAGAAAACACGCATTTTAAAAGGGTTTTTCGCCTGCCGTCTGTCTGCAGACTTGTCAAAGCATTAATTCATGGTTCTTACTAACCGGTATCAGTATGTTGTTACTTCAGCATAATTTTGAAATGTGTATTACAATTAAATCACGGTCAAATATGTTCATCTTGTTGTAGTTGTAGCCCCCTTGCCAGAGATTCTCTCACTAGTTGAGCACACTCAGCCCGGTTGTTGGCCCGGAAAGAACCTCTATTTTGGAGAGCCAGAAAAACTGTGAAAAAGTACCCGCTAGCCGGAACTACGCCAAGTGGAAACGCAACCAAAAACGGGCCGGGTTTGGCACGGCACGCTTAAACCGTGCTACGCGCTGCAGTAGAAATGCGCCATTACAGTAGCCACAGTTAAAATAAAGATTGATTTCCTTTTATATACTTTTTTCGTGGGACCCGATAATTTTTTTTAAACGTATTAGTAAACTAAGCTTTTCTATTTTCCCTATAGATCAGATCTATAAAAGTGAAAGATGTTTTACTGACTTAATCATTTATGTTTCTTTGTTGCTCTTGTGTTGCAGGTCTCTTTTTTTTCATCGCTGTGGAATCATCCCTTCTTCACCATCAGCTGTATAACTCTTATAGCTCTCTTCTTCGCTGGCATACACAAACGAGTGGTGGCACCATCAATGTATCCTTTTGTCTGTTGCAGTTACAAGAAAGTAGCATGTATCAGAATTAAACTTCCAGCTCATCCAATCCCAGGATGTTACCAGAAAAGTGCTTTTTAATGTATTTTTTAATGAACTGAATCATCCTTGTTCAAGTTTCTGTCTCACACGTTCAGATCTTTAACCTTTTGCCCTGTCAGTATTGCTGCTCGCTGTCGGACAGTTTTAGCAGAGTACAACATGTCCTGTGACGACGTGAGTTAACAAATCTCTTCTATGTTTTGAATTGTTGTCTTATATATTTTTGTTTTTGGTTCATTATATAAAAAAAGAAGGAAATATGGAAATGAGAAGTATTCAAAGGAAATCTGAATTGTCTAGATTGAAATCTTAAACTTAAAGGGGACCTATCATGCAAAATGCACTTGTTGATGTCTTTTATACATAACCATGTGTCCCCGGTGTGTCGGGGAACTCACGCAGCGTCAGAAAGTAAAACCCTCTCTCTTTTCCTCCGTACCCAAATCTCTAAAAACGGGGCTACAACGGAGCTGATCCAGATTTGCGTCCGATATGACGTAATATCTGAAATGTGGACCCACGGCCCAATCAGAAACGTTGCTATCAGAAACAATGCCCGACTGTTTTGGACGTAATATGGTCGCTGTTTACATTAGCATCGCTAACACTCAGAGCTAACCTGTACTGGAGAGCATGTGTGTGAAGAAGCAGGAAGTAAAAAGGAACTCACCTTGTGGTATAACCGGCAAGAGAGAAAGCCTTTGAGCTTCAAACTGTTTCAGAGAGAATCCTTGATAATCCATGATATGGTGTTTCATCACGGCACCATTTAGTTAGACAGTAGCTGCCGGGTCCCGCATGAGCTCAGCCCCCTCCTTTTTATTTTTTAGTAATTATTTTTGTTTTTAAAGCTTTATTCCCAAAATCAGCACTTTTGAAACAGGAAGTGAAATAGAGGGATATGAGGCATGGCTAGAATGGGTGATCTGTTTGGTATTTTGAGCAAAACACTTCATAGACATGTTTTTATATATTTTCATATATCTGAGTTCTATTTTTAGACTATTGCCTAAAAATAGCATGATAGGAGACCTTTAAGGTTTTTTACTTCATAAAATACAATATTTAAATCATGTATTTAGGAGACAAAACTTGGATAATTATGAGATTACAAAATCATAAATCCCAGAATGTCTTTGAGAGTATCAAATTCAGAAGAAAAAAATAATATTGTAAAATGTGGTTCCTTGACAAATAAACCCACTATTTTCCCCAAGTTATTTTTCCAATTGAGTCTCAGAAAATGTTCAAATGTACCGTTTAAATTACAGAAAATATCCAAATGTTTTTCTCTTGTCAACTCAAGACTTTTATCTGGGAGATTCTCTTGAGTTTTTCCGGGAATATTACCCAGCTCCTTCTTTGTTCGTTGTTTGTAATTTACTTTAGTAGTGTGCTCTGACAACATATATTTTTGCGAGTTTTAACAGCTATTTCTTCTTCTTACAGACGGGGAAACTTATACTCAAGCCACGACCGAACATCCAGTAACCGTGAGCTGGAGTGTGTCTCTGTTTCTATCCGCTGATCACTCCGTGTCTTTAGTCCTTTGGCAGCGCTGAGGCGCTTCATCATGCGTTTAGAGGAAAGAAGAAATGACCTGATTTTGCCTTTTTAAACACTGTCGCTGTGCTGACTGCAGATGAATGCTCAGATGTGTTAATTTCTGTTTCTAATGTTGAGCATGTATTTTAATTAATTGTTTCTATTTTTAAAGTTATTTACCAAATAAATATTTCAGGTGTGAAACTGTCTCCCTCTTTTTTTTTTGTCATATTTAATGAAAAACCTAAAAATAAAAAAATTAATTCAGAATAATAGAATGACATAAGAAATAGGGATTTTTTTAAATGTATTTAATTTAGGATTTATCCTAATAAATACATATGAACAATATAATTACGTAAAATGTATTTAATTTAAATATTTAAAAAAACATTTTTACTATTATTATTCATCTTATGTTTATGAATTGCGTTATATTAGTATAATTTATTATCATTATTGTTATAATTCCTAAGATTTTCATTATTATTATATAGAATCACCTGTTGCTATGGATTTACGTTTGCAATGTTGCGTAGGGTTGTTTTTTGTTTTTGCGACAGCTTCTCGGCTTTCTGTTAGCAACAACCACTTCACGGCACATCTTCCACATGGCCTCCACCAGGCTGTAACTGTGGTTTGTGTTTGATATTGTGTCTCTAAATTACCAACAAGTAGGACTGAAACAACATTATATACGCAGGTCGCGCTCTCACAAGGACTGAAATGGGTAAAAGTAAAACCACGAAGTTTAAACGTCCGCAGTTCAACGCGGTCGGGCTGCCGGTGAACGCGGTGCAGGAGGCGGGGGAAGAGGCAGAGGATCCCGTGGAGGACGACTGTCCAGCTGCGGAGCTCCTGGAGAAAGTATGATCATTCATATATCACTCAAAAATACTCTGCTTATCAGTTTCTTAATGTTTAATCATTGCATTGTGGTCATGCATGCAGACACTTCAGTAAAACACCAAACAGGGAGAATCCTTCATGGGTTTAACTCAAAAGCTTGTAGTAAAGGTATATTATATAAGGTTTGGTTTATATTTTAGATGTTTACAATCAGAATTCATGTTCTCGTAATACAAAGGGGAAATATACGTTGTTACAGTAAAGTATACATTGGGACGAAGGTAATATAACACTACTATATAAAAAGGTAAGTACAAGTACAGTACTTGAGTAAATGTACTTAGTTACTTCCCACCTCTTGAAATAGCTGTTTGTTCAGCTGTTAGTTATGTTACATCCTTGCATGGTTGTCACTTGTCATGCATGCAGACCTTTCAGTAAAACAGGGAGAGAATCCTTCATGGGCTTAACTCATACTTTTAGTAAACATGTATTACATCAGCTTACCGTTAAAACATGTTTGTGCTGTTTCCATCTACCAAAATAGACACTAGAGTTAAAAAGAACTACAATTTTGCAAATGTAAAAAAAAAAGTGTATAACCAAGATTTTCTGAAAACAAAACAAATGATATTAAAATATGCTGTCGGTGCATTTAAACAATATTTTGCTGCATTTAAATTACGCTTTCATTTTCTGGTAGATTACACTTGTGTGATTTCCCTCTTAAGACTCACATTTAGGCTTTTGTTGTTACACATTTTTGTTAATCTTTTGAAACATGTGTCCCCAGCTGCAGAGTCCCAGTGCAGATGTGAGGGAGTTTGCGTGTGCCAGCATCTCCCGGGTGGTGCAGCAGAGCCAGAGCATCCCGGGCCTCCTGCAGCGGGACGCCGTGCGGCGCCTCGGCCCCATGCTGCTGGACCGCAGCCTGGCTGTGAGGGAGACGGCCGCCGGGGCGCTCAGGTGAGGAGGGGAGGATGTTAGGAAACACCACAACAACAACAACAACAACAACAACCTGAGGCTTGGACACAACAGACAGAAATCAAATAACTAGCAGCGACAGCAGAAGCGTTTGCAGGAAGATGTTGTGTCCCAGACAAAAGGGAGTGGTTCCAGTCAATTGTTATTTTTTATTTATTACTATTGAGCTTAATAACAATTAATGAAAAGACTGACAACATCAGAATCAGAATACCTTTATTAGTAGCAGCCAGGTATATATTGCACATATTGCACATAGTTTGGGAGGATGTTGGGGAACAGGGCCAACAACAACAACAACAACAACAACCTGAGGCTCGGACACAACAGACAGACAGCAAATAACCAGCAGCGACAGCAGAAGGGTTTCTGTGTTTGAAGATATTTAACAGTGGTTACTTGTTGTCTCTATCTATACCGTTACTGCTCTAACAATATATAATCCCCCCTCTGGGACGGATAAAAGGATTTCAGATCCTGATTCACAGTCATCTCTTTGTATCAGAGAGCGTCCTGTCTCCTGTCCTCCAGTCGACCTTAAGTCAGAACGAGTTTCCTGGATATTTAAATCAGACACTCGCTCATCGTACCGCCCCCAGCCCTCTCTCTCTTGCACCAACACACACGCCTGAACACAAACAGCCAGCTCCCCCCCTGCCTGAACGATGAGTGTGTGTCTCCCTGAGTGTGTGTCTCTCTCTGAGCGTGTGTGTGTCTCTCCCTGACAGGAATCTGAGTGCATGCGGCGGTCAGGAGGTGTGTGAGGACATGGTGAAGCACGACGTCATGACTCCTCTGACAGCGCTGCTCCGAGAGGTGAGATGCTGCTTCAGCTCTCCTCCTCCTCCTCCTCCTCCTCCTCCTCCTCCTCCTCCTCCTCCTCCTCCTCCTCCTCCTCCTCCTCCTCCTCCGCCTCCTCCTCCTCCTCCTCCTCCTCCTCCTCCTCCTCCTCCTCCTCCTCAGCAGCTGTTGCCGCCATATACTCAGCACATGGGGTTTATTTTTTTAGATTCTAAGTGAGAATTTCTGCACCCACACTCGCACTTATTGACCAGCGTTGGACTCAAAATATTCAACGGCTTTATTTGTCCTTTGCACAATAGCTACAGGCTCGTTCTGTCTATGAACATCTTCTCCAGCAATGCAACATACAATTTACTTTAAAGCTCCCATGTCATGGCCATTTCTACTGATCATAATTCCATTGTTGAGGTCTACTAGAATAGATTTACATTGTTCAATGTTCCAAACTCACATCGGTTTCTCATTCAGCATCTCTGTATAGTATATTCACTCTCTGTCCTAAACGCCTTGTTGGAGCTCCTGCCCCCCCCCTCCCTGTGAGCCCAGTGGCCGTCTGCGAGACACAGCGAAACCCAGCCCGAAACACACACACCCACCCGCAGCCTGGCTGGGAGTTTGTGTGTGTGCCCAGGCTGAGTTCCGCGGTGTCTCGCTGACCCCACACCAGTGAGCCAGCTCACAGTGTCCCGCTCCTCGCAGCACGGAGCCTCGCAACGTCCCGCCGAGTGTGTGTGTGTGAGGAAGTCCGCGGATTGGTCGGAACGTAACGGCTCCGCGGACGTAACGTGACTATACCCGAAATACGTCACTATACCCAAGAAGTAAACAATGGAAAATGAGAAATGTCCAACGAGGCGTTCTGGGGCAGCATAGACAGGTATTTTCTGTGTTAGAGTTTTACTCGCTACAGGGTGTACTTTGAGGGTTTGTGACTCTGCAGACCGTTTACATGCAGAAAAAGCTTCATAGCAACAAGGGGACGGGTAATAACCAGAAAAGCATGACATGGGACCTTTAAAAAAAAAAAAAGAAGTGCAATAGACACAATTATGCAAATAAGTTGCAGGAATGAGATAAAAAGATAGAACAAAACGATAGAATAATCTGATAGTTTCTGATAGGTCTGTCTCAAAGCGTGTAGTTTACATTTTGACAGGGATGCTTTTACATATTTCAACCTCAGCTCCTATAATAAGTCTATACTATTGTGAATCATCCCCGGGCGCCGTACATAATGGCAGCCCACTGCTCCTAACACTAGGATGGGTCAAATGCAGAGAAACCGATAAGTTGAATCTATCTATCAATGCAGTACAAAAACATTGCTATTTAATATCAGACTTTAAAATGAAAGCCCTTGCTTCAATTTGTATTGAGTTTTTTACCAGATTGTCAAACACATAGTGCCATTTCTTTCATGTTTGGATATGGAGAAAATGACATGCGATTTGTTTGGTTTCCACTAGGGGCGTTGCAGCTCTGTATTTTAAATGCAGTGCATCAACATCTTTGCTGTTGCTCACCATTGACATACCCCAGACTGAAATTCCCCATAGCATTTAATATACAGAAAATAATTAAATATTTCAGTTTTTTTAATTTAAACTGTGAAATTATGACAGGGTGTCTGCGGGGTCTTAAAAAGTATTAAAAGTTGATAAATCAATTTAGTGAAAATGAAGGCTATTAAAAAGTATTAAAGAGCATTTTCCAAGGTATTACATTTTGTAGCTTGTTTTCAATAAGTATATAAATGGTCCAAAGAGGTTGTATTCCACAGTCTGCCTGAATGTAATCATGGCGTAGGTGTGTCGTGTGATTCTGTGTAGTTTATTGATGGCATCCCGTTGGATGTGTCATCTGAACAGGACATCGCACGCTCACTGCTTGATAGCACGAAGCTCCGTTTACGCCGTTTGTTAAACAACATCGTTATGGGGAAATGCAAGTCTGCGTCCAAATGGTTGGAAGATAAGGAGGAAGGACAATCAATACTGTATATAGTCAATGTGAGGTAAAGTGTGTCGCCAAGGTAACCGGTTAAAACTCCCAAGTGGCGATGAGGTCTTAAAATGTGTGGAAAGGGTCTTAAAAAAGGTCTTAAAAGGTTTTACATTTGACTTCAGGATTCCTGCATATACCCTGGATGAGAACAATTCATATTTATTGGTTATCATCAGAACTGATGTTACAAACAATGATTTCCTCAATAAAGGTTGTATCTGTGACCCGCTCTATCGAAATCAGTCGGAAGTCGCAACGGCTCATTTCACAATAAATAAATAAACGTGGATTTGTGTAAAAAACTAGTTTTCAGGGTTCGGGTGTTTTGTTTGATTTCAAATAAACAAAGTCTTGGCTTTCAGAATATTAAACTTGTTTTGGCAAATTCAGATGATAAATGCAACTTTGAAGCTTAACGGCATAATTACAAGCGGAGAACGGAGTAACTTCACGTCACAGCAGCCATAACAACAGCCGGTGTTTCCCGTGAGGGTTTTCCCCGGGAAACAAACACAATACACACAAATGCAAAATTACACACACACGTATACACACACACACACACTCGCGAGCTTCCCCCAGACTAGTAATCCAAACGAAAATATCTTCCCTCCGTACTACTTTGATCATTTGCGAATAATCAATCAGATCGATGGATTCCAGAGAAGAGGAAACTTTGAAGGCCTTTTTCTCAAAACGAGGACTCGGTGATAGTCATTATATAATGTGACGTATTTTGCTTAATATTTGGAGTACATCAACAATCCTGATATCATCAGAAAGCTAGGAAGCTCCTCTTTCCAGCAGTGTATACAACTCAACATGTCTCTTCGGGTCAATGTGACTGATTTCGATGGAGAAGGTCACATATGATATTCAAATATCAATGAAATGTTATTATGAAATACTTATTGTAAGTCGCTTTGGATAAAAGCGTCAGCTAAATGCAATGTAATGTAAAAATATGAAGAAATTAAATAATTGTTGTTTTCTGTAATTAAAAACAACAACAGTAGCAAAGTAAACACACATCTAAAGCGATAAAATGTGGTATTAATGATCAGTATAAACGTTAGTGACAATATTGAAGCTCTGTTAAATTAAAAACAATATTACCATATGATTGTAAGGCAACATTTTTGTCCTCAGTACATCCAAGACTTAAATATGTGATGCCTCCACTATTATAATGACCTATATTTTCATCATGAAGCGTTAACACTTTGTACATGTGAGGATGATCGATGAAGCCGTGGTTTTGTTGTGATCTGCAGCACAGGCTTTGTTTTCTTTTCAGAGCTGTGCAGGATTTGAGAGCGCCGCTGTGCTGAAAGAGAAGAAGAATGCAGCGGAGGACGTGGCCAACGAGGCTGTCAACCTTTTGTGGAATCTGTGGTAAGACGAGGGGTTGTGTTTTTAACCTTTTGTTTATCAAGGGAGGTTTTACCGAGCATGCACAATGGCTTTTTTTTTACGCGCTACAACTTTAGCTGCATGCAGAATCTCTCCCGGGCGCTGCACTGTACTTTCTACTTTTCTACCCCAGGCCAGGGGCCTAAATTATAACGCCGTGCGTAGGATTCACGTGGGAAGGTTGCTTACGTGGTAGAAATCCAAAAAATAGGTACAGATATTTTCCGATTCACCAATCATTGCGTACCGGCGAGGAAAGTGCGTACAGCACTTCCTACGCCGGGTTCCCTTTATAAATCACAATCGACTGGAAATGCGGTGCAGCTTTTGCGGGCTTCACGTAACGCCCATATTTGCCTATAAATAGTCAAAGAAACGCCCATTCATTCATTTTGACTGACTGCATGAAGAAGATCGCAGGAAATGACGACAGAACAGCTAAAAAAGACATCTCGCACCGTGTCAGGTTTGGGTTATTTTGGGGAGGTGGAGATAAATCATATTGTTTGGTGGATGCAGTTTGAACCAGAGTCGCAGCATGGAGGTCGGATCGTCACCAACATAAATAAATAAGTGGTCTGAAAAAGGTTCATGACAAAAACAATACACATAGCCTTCCTCAGGCAGTGTGTTTGTACCGGGGACAGGAGACCCCCCCCCTTGATGAGAAACTGTAAGAAGTGATCGGGGAATCCCTCCGGAGTGGAGTCATGACGACTGGATCTGAATTATGTGTTTGTATTTGGTGGTTTGTGTCCCAGCTGTCGATCAGCTGTGCACAGCGTCTCCACTGCAACCCTTGACACACATTTACTGCCATTATCCATCATTATTCACACAAATATAATACATTATGTCTCATTTCTAATTTCTTACCCGTCTGTTTTTCCTCTTGTGTTGTTTTTTCTAGTGAGAGCAGCAGCCAGTCTCTGTCTGTCTTCAACAAAGCGGGTCTCCTGGACATGGTGGTGCAGTGTCTGGAGACACACCAACACAACATGGAGCTGGCCATATCGGCGGGTACGTCTCATTAAAGTACCGTTCATTTGTAGTCATTGTTCTATAAAGTTATTGTTTTGGCAGCACCTGGAAGCTGTTGTTAGTCTTTTTGCGTATTAGAAACGGAGTTGGCGACACTAAAACTGCGATATAATGTTTGTGTAGCAATAATACACATGACATATATGTTTTACATGTCTCCAGTACCGAAAAAAAGACCGCTAACGTCGGAGCTTAACGGTACCACAGTCTTCAATAATTCAACCCTGGGGCTCGGTACCCGTCCCTAGTCACTGTACAGGTTCATAAAGTGCACATACCTCCGAGCTGTACTGACATTCAGATCCTTTTAAAGGTTCCCTGTGGAGATGTTGTCCTCTAATGGTGCTATTTAACACGTCTTTTTATGTGTTGGCCCCCTTGTGTCTTGTGCGCGGACTAGAGGACGCATAAATGTGGGTGATGCAACACACCTTCTCTTTCCTGTGATCGACAGCAGGCCACAATGCGGCAAAGAAACGCAGCAGTGCAGACTAATGGGTAGTAAACATGTGTGTAAGCAGGGCTCAACATGCTTTGAAGACATACAGAGACTCATGCAAATGCAAACAAATACAAAAGTCTCCATTGCAAATTCATTTCTCTCTGCCAAACATTGCACATGATATTATTTATAGATGCAAAATGTGGTAAAACATGTTGTTGTAATGACAGAGTGTGAAAGCAGCTTCCACTCCCAGAAATGACTGGAGACGTGTGAACGGTCTTTGACATCAAAACATTACAAATGTCTTATAATAGCCATTACTGTGCAGACACTGGGCTTCCACACGCAAAGACATATTAATACTATTGAGCCTCATTCACCAACAACTCTCATTTACCGTTAAATTAGACTCTGACGTTCTCCAATCTGTTCTTATTTAGGATCTGTTCTAAGGTAAACACAGTTATATATATACTATCGTTTAATAATCGTATTATTAAACAAAGGCCAATGGGATTTTAACACTCCTCAAATGTGAATTAGCAGCCCACACCTCTTTTTGTATATACATATCTATTACTGATGCTCGTTTGGTTTTCACTATCTGAAGGTTTTCAAATGATTGGAGTCAGTGCTGCACACCTTTTGAGGCGTGCTTAAATAAAAATGTCTTAACTTTTAACTAAACCATGGGTGTAGGAAGCTATGGCTGCGATGCCCATGAACTAAATGCATTACCATTTTATTTGTATTGTCAGGGCATTTACTCATACCTCATTCACACCAACGGTGTTTCAGGGCCGGTTCGGAGCTGGAGCTTGAAAAGCACCGGGTTTTCCTGTTCACACCGCAGCGGAGCAGCCTCTTAGCTCCGGAATCCGGTTCGTTTCAAGCACCAAAAAATTGTCCGGCTAGAGCAAAAGCACCACATACACGCTTACGTCGAGGCGGGGCAGGGGCGGGATCAACTCCTGAACAACAACAAGAAGCCGGCGTTTTATCCAGTTTGTACACAACGATGGAGAAACTTAACAAGCAGCAGTGGTCCACTGAAGAGACCAGCTACCTACTGGGAATCTGGTCTTCTGAAGAGGTACAGAGGAAGCTGGAGCACAATCGGCCATTGTTGTTGTTGTCGGTGTCAGCTGTGAGGGGTTTCCGTTGGCTTCATGAAGCAGGCACGCAAACGGTTACGTCATGACGCGAACGATGACGCAATGACGCAGCACCAGTCGGACTCTGGGCTGTGTGAAAAGAGCCGGAGCTAAACCGAAGAACCGGTTCTGAACCTGAAAAGCTCTAGCACGGAGCTTGAAACCGGAGTTGCGTTGGTGTGAATGAGGTATCAGTAATCATGATCAGCTTGCACACAATTTCAATGTTCAAAGACAATGGGATTTATCATTGTAAGAACGCATGTCTGGCAATTCTGCAGTTTAGATACATGCCATAAATCTGTTTCTTGCTCAAGAACACATTTTAGAATAACCTTCGGAAGAAATGAGTCCCATTGTTAGTAGGCAAGGTCCATGGCCAGCCTGACCTCAAACTGAATGTGTTTCTGTAGTGTACTGAAACACTTGGTAACTCTGTCCTTTCTCTGTGTCTCCAGCCCACTGCCTGCACACGGTGACGGAGGATAACCCCGAGCTGCTGCGGAGCACCAACAGCGCCGTGCTGAGAGTCGTGGAGAGCGTGCTGCTGACGCCTGAGACAGACATGGCTCACACACTGCTCAGGACCCTGGCTGCAGGTACCACATCTCTGAGTATTAGTGAAGAAATGAATAGTATCAATAGTCCACATGACACCTTAGTAAACTAAATCAGTGTTGGAAAGTACATTTACTCAAGTACTGCACTCAAGCACTCATTTTAGGTATTTGTGCTTCATTTGAGTATTGGCGAGATGAAGCTATGAAGCTTTCCAGCCAATTGGTTCGCTAAAGGGTTCATCTCATGAGGCTTCATCATGGGCTTCATTTGAACACAAACTGTTGGTCAAAGTGTGTAAAACAGGCAGATTGGACATCTCAACAGTGTGCTCTATCTCACCGAGTTCCCATTGAGTAAAGCCTTAGAATAACTCTAAACAACGAACATTAAATCATATTTTCAAGTAAATAATATTGTTTTTATTCCAGTTGAATGATTGTGATTGAAAAGCCTAAGGAGGCTGGTAAACATTGCAAAGAGGGATTAGTATTCCTTAATAATATTCGTAAACGTAACCATGTTGTAGCCTGAGAAAGGCTAAACCATATCAAAGAATACATTTATTAACTACATTATCTCATTTAGCTGTAGCTTTTATAAACAAACAAAAGACGTATTGTTCAGTCGTTGAACCAGGGACCCTGCAGTCATGAGTCGACTGCTTTCCAGCTGAGCCACAGCACACACACTGAATCTCCCTGACAACACTGGAGCATATTTATTGATGTTTTTATTCCTACATTTATTTATGCTTGTATCTATTTATACTTATGACATGTTCCGACCTCTATAAGAGTGAGGGTCTGAGCTCTCTTGATTCCATCGTGTCACCGGGCCCGGGTACAGGAGGGGTAATATGCTTCTTATTATACATCCATGGGGAATATGAGCGCTGTGGTTCAACGGTTCAACCGATCTGAACCGCTTCTAGGGTTGCCAGAAACTGACCATGATCAAAATCGATTATTCGGCAGCCCTGGCGAATAATAATCGATTATTAACATGATGTTGGTTTATTTTTTGTTATTTTCTAAAGTGCCTGCCATTGCCTTTATTTGGAGATGTGCTATGCGCGCACAATGTATTTATTGCAATGCTGCCATTATTAAATACAGGCTACAGCTTGTATTAATAATAGCAGCATTGTAATAAATATTATTATAGCAATTTATTTATTGCAATGCTATTAATAATACAGGCTGTAGCCTCTATTATTAATAATAGCAGCATTGCAATAAATAAATTGTGCGCGCATCTTCAAATAGATGCACTCAAAACGCATTGTTGAGGTTGAGCTGTGATAGACCAACGTCTTTTCGCAGAGCTTGCATTTAACTTCCTTTGGACTTGTAAGTTCGAAGTAGTTCCACGAGGAGGAACTCTTTCTACCTGCCGCTTTGTTCATCTTTAGTCGCACGTGTGAGGGAGAGGGGGGCGGGGTGGGGGCGGGGTGTAGCGTGCTGCAGCAGCAGTCTGCTCTGCACGCAGGCTTCCTCCAAGTTTACAGTAAAACAAACTGGTGGTGTGACCAATGGCCATTTACAATTGTTAATACTATTACTATTAAAGCATTAGTCTATATTTTGGTTGAAACTAAGCCAGAAAAAAAACAAAACATAAATAATAATAAAAAAAATATATAAATAAAATCTATTTTTACAAATAATATTCGATTATGGAGACTGTAACGAATAATCGAATAATCACTGGCATCCCTACTGGCTTCCTGAAGCAGTCACGTGGTATCGACAGGCAGCGAGGCTTCGTTTGTCATTGATGACGTCACTGGCCCAAAACGATACAAGCCTCGATACAGGCTTCACAAAAAGCTTCAGGGATTACTCGACACACGCTCCGAAGCCTCGGCGCAATACGTAACATCAATATCTTTCAGTGCCACTTCAGACTAATACCCTGATAATATTTGAAGGGATATATTGTTCTTTTAACTTAACTTCCTTGTTTTGTCTTATACAAATGTAGTTAGTTGTTACTTTAAATCCCGTCTTAAAACCCACCTTTCCCCTTAGCATTCGTAAACAAGTAGATTGTTGCTTTTATTTGCTTTCAGTGGTCTATTGTTTTTACTATATGGTTGTTTTTATTTTGTAATTGTTACGTTTATTCTGGTTTGTTTTGTGGTCGTATCTTTTGTGATTTTATACTTATTTGTATGTTTTGTGAGCTGAGCTCTGTACGGCACTTTGGTCTGGAGGTTTTAAAGTGCTATATAAATAAAGTTGGATTGGATTTTAAATTCCGATTTTTAAACACAACATTTAGTACAACTTTCTAAAATATGATCCTTTGATGCAGATTAATCTATTCAACATTATATTGTTGTATGTTAAACAATGAGTGGGTATATTTTTCTAAGTCTTTAGTAAAGAAATAGTTTATTAGTAATTATTTTTGAAAAAACATCTCACAGTTCCAGCTTTTTGAATGTGAAGAATTGCTGCTTTTCCTTTTGTAATATTTGTAACATATTCAAGAGTTTTGTTCTGCCACGAGTACTTCTTCTCCTTAAGCTTAAAGTACATTTTCCTGACCATACTTATTTATCCTTTTGTGGATTTCTAATTCTAATGTCTCCTCTCTCTCCCCTGCTGTGTCTCAGGCACTCTGTGGAACCTGAAGAGCAGTCTACCGTCGACCCGTCAGGCTCAGGCTCTGAACGCCGTGGTCTCCACTCTCTCTCAGAGCTTGGATCTGGACGCAGGAACGCTGATCCCTGAGCTGAGAGGAGCAGAGGAGCTCCATCAGAGGAACACCGACGCTGCAGCCGAGAGCGAGCAGCAGGCTGCCGGAGGAGAGGAGGAGGCGATGATCGAGGAGGAGGAGCCCAAACACACGAAGAACGGGATAGCTGCAGACAACGACTTCTCCGACCTTTTACCTGTAAGTAGTGACTCTAACATTGTTCTCTATTGTTGGGAAAACACACGAGTCCACGTGATAACAAAGGTATCCCAACTGTAGCTGTGTACATGACAGGATGTCTGATTACCTAGAAGAGCATCAGGACTGTTTGAGGCATATGATAGCTATGTGATTAACATGATGATTCAGCCTCTATGGAGAGAGACATATGACAAGCACGATCATTTCTGACGTGGAGCTAATCTGAGCTAAACATTGAATACTGCTTTGAACCGGTATTCCATATAGTTCTCTATACGTGATGCTATTTGTTTACATGCTATTCCTCTTCATGCATACATTTTTATTATAAGGAAATAAACAAGAACATCCAAGAAAGACAAATAAAATACCAGAATATGCAAGTCAATCCTAAAATGAAATAAGGAGTTTAACCCCCGGATCAAACGTAATGTATTGTTTCAGGAAAAGTTAACGCTCATGGAGTCCAGATTTGTTCAAGGACACCAGTTCAATTTGTAACAACTTTGCATAACATTTGATTCAGCTGACAATAAATGGTATCTTTAAAGTAAATACAAATTTAAGAATCCTGCAAGTACATTCACTTTAAATAGGTTTAAACCATTTTAAGTGTTTCTTTTTTTTTGTTGTTGACAAAAACAAATGACTAAGGCTCTTGATAAGCAGTTATTTTATTTCTGGAAATATACGATGTGGCGGAAACTGACGTCTGTGTTTGTGGCGACAAAGCAGTTATTTTTGAGGGTCCAGTTTACGCCAGGTGAAAAGGTGTCGTGTGCGTCATCGTGAAAAGTGATCTGCACTGACAGATAAAGACAAAAACTAAACACCATTAAATATATTATTCTGTGCAGAGTAGATGAGAAAAAAGTCAAACTACACCAAAAGCAAAATAACACACCACATTTCTTAACCTGTTAAGCCCCATGCCTTTTTTTCACGAAACTTTGTCTCAGGGCTTCTTAACATTTATGAAACTATTCCATACTCACTTAACGGGAAGAATCTCAGCTAACTGACGATACGAACCATTTTTACCGAAACAAAACACGAGTCTCACAAGAAGTGTCTAAATGAGCCCGGAGCGAAGAAATGCTATCGCACTTAGCACAGAACTCACAGCTTAAATACTCTTATTACTTATCGTATCTGCAAGATATCGATTAGCAAGCTGAGATTCCACAGATTCCAGAAATATTAGTATCATCGCTGAGCGATCCGAACTCGCAACAGGGGAAGTGAAAACAGACATTACAGCACGTAGCTTAACGGAGGAAGCTTCTTACCTTAGCTGTTGTTCAATGGCAAAACGATAAAAACGCTGCTGAAGGTTAATCCAAAGGTTAATCCAATGTGTCTGTCACTTTGAAATGATTCCTGATAATCCATCTTCATATTTACTAGTTTGAGCCTATGTTTCAGTTTTCAGAGCATAACATTGCTTTCGACTGTGTGCGCATAGTTCTCACTTGTCAATGGTATCGTGTGTGTGTATGTGGAACTTCCCCCTTCGATTCTATTGGCTCTGACGGTTAAAAAGAGGTGTCAATCACCAAAATCGACCAATGGGTTCCAGAGAAACGGCAAATCCACCCAAATGACCCCAAAGGTGGGTTTTTTTTGCTAAACCTCTCTAAAAAGGTCAAATGTCACTTGTTTTGCATCAATCTTGATACAGGGTACTTATTATATGTTATAGTTTGGATTCCTAAAGCTTTTAGTCTCCTATCCCATCATTCAAGGGTGGTTTTCACTATAAGTAATGTTTTTTTTTTTGGACGGACACTAAAATTTACATTTTTTTTTACTATGTTCAATCTGAATTTACTTTACAATAAAACAATTCTATATTAATTCTGACTTTTCTACATCCAACTCACAGGTTTATCCTTGCTTTGAGAAAAAAGATTATTAATGTAACCCTTTTAGAAGTGAAGATATGGTCATTTGTTCTGGGAATGTCATTTTTCGAGCCTGAGGCCTGAAAAACAGGCTCGGGCTCAACTGGTTAATGAATCTTTATCTTATTTTATGTTTAATATCTTGTATAAGTTTCTCTCTTAATTGTGTTGCATGTATAATGGTTAGAGTGCACGATGGGAAGTAAACAAGAAGAGGTGTGCATGGGATGTGATGCACAACACAGGAGGCCTGTGATTGGCTCATTCAGTGCCAGAGGAAGGGTATTTTGGATTCATTCATTCACCATTTGTTAATCTTTTTGCATTATATACTTTTTGCTACCTTTCCGTACCTTCAGCGTTTAGGACTAGTTTCTACATCCATTTATTTTCGTAGTTTTATTTCCAAAGTGCAGTCGAAAATTGTCATAAATGACTTTATGTCCAAAAATGATTTACCAATGGCTCTATAAGGAGTTTACCCCGGTTTTAATTTCTGTAAATATACAGAACGTGAACTGACGTCTGTGTTTGTGGCGACAAAGCAGTTATTTTTGTTTACGCCAGGTGAAAAGGTTTTGTATGAGTCATCCTGAAAAGTTATCCGCACTGACAGAGCAGACAGACTGTAGGGTTTTGGGGGGGGGAGAGTTTAGGGTTCAGCTGGGGGGCTTCAGGCTCTCTGACGTCCCCCAGACTCGACCTCTGTGAGACAGAGCTGTCCCCCCTCGTCCCAGCCAGCGCCGAGACCAGGGCTGACATGATGGGGACGACGAAAATCCCCTGTTATACTTTAGATTATACAACGGGGTCATCTCCATCCAGGCTGTGGTTTCACTGGTGTAGCTTTAATAACTAAAACGATAATGATTTTCTTAATAAAGTAAGAAATATTTTTGCACGGTGATTCAAAACATTGCAAGGATAAAAAATGCAAAAAAATCCCTTTCAACAAGACTTAAAATAGTGCTATAAAATTACATAATGGTGCAATTAAAACACAGTACTAAGCAAGGAACGAGATGAAAACAGTATGTAGAATGCAATACCATACAGCAGAATAAAGTCCTCTACTTGACCTTACTACTAGTGTAAGTGTTCTTAAATTAATAAAATATATTTTTTTGAACACGTTTTGAGAAGTGCTTTTTAGTTTCACTGTTAGACACTCACACAAAACCCTGAACACACTATAAAAAAAAAGAAAAGGGGAACAAGGCGTTATTGTCATAGCTACAGCGCGGTTGTTGGCAATTCAACCCTCTTTAATGGTCTCACATGCAGAGCACACAGTGAAATGTGTTCTCTGCTTTGAACCCATCCTAGTACCAGGAGTCTATACTAGGAGCAGTGGGCAGCTATTGTACAGCGCCCGGGAGCGATGGGAGGGGGTAAGGGGGATGTCCGGTGCCTTGCTCAAGGGCACCACGGCAGGGCAGGAGGTGAACTGGGACCTCTCCAAGTAGCAGTCCACACTCTATATTTAGGTCTGTTCGGGGACTTGAACCGGCGACCCTACGGCTCACAGTCCAAGCCCCTACTGACTGAGCCACTGCCGGAGAAGTCTGTAGATGCAAAAATAAAGAAATACAATTAAACAGTTGTCCTAAAACAATCAGAGATTTAAAAGATAAATAATTTCTTCTAAAAATAAAAACTCAGCACACACTGCGAATAAAATATATAGTTTCTAATCTTTCTCTTAATGATTCCTTGATCTGTGACACCCCAATGCGGGTTTCCCTTCAGGACATGACTGTGTTTGAGTTCATCTGTAGAGAGATAGATCTCGTCCTTCAGACTGGGAGCTAACGATGAGTGTTTTGATGCTGACTCTCTCTGTTGTTCCAGAGGCAGCAGGCGGAGCTGAGGGAGGCCACGGCGCTGCTGACGGCCCAGCAGACGTCTTTAGAGATCATCGTCAACATGTGCTGCTCTGATGGTGAGTGAGACACAGCGCTGACCCCCCCCCCCCCCCCCCCCACCATTATCCTGTCCCTGCTGAGGATATCATAACGAGGGAAGAGTTCATCCGAGTGCTGGGCGGTATATCGACTCTGCAAGATATATATCGATATATTTTGATTAGACAATTACACAATGGAATTCTGGGTAATCAGAAACAGGTTTATTACCAGGTAAGTTTACACATTCGAGGAATTTGACTTGATGTCATGGTGCATACATAATAAGTAAGGGATAATGTGCAGCGATTGGGCACAATTCATTATGTCAAACCTTGGGAAGTATCTAGATATCCCTGCCCTAATGCCAAAGTAACTGGCAACTGAATATGTGTCGCCGTTTGATGTCTATGTCTGGACCGCTGCGTAAAAAGGAGGGTTTCTGCCCGTTACTTCTCCGCTGTTTTCTTGTCGCTCTTGTCTTGTCGGTTCGAAAAGCAAACTGCAGCCAAACTGTAAACAGTTAAATCGACCGGACTTCTTTCTGCAGATGTGAGCGTCCTTAACAACGGTCAATAAATCCTTGACAGCGGTCTGTCTGTTCTGGATTAACAACGTGTCACGTGTTCTGAATTGACCAATCAGATTCGAGTATTCAACTCAGCCATGTAATAACATAAAATAATATTAGAAATAATTAAATATAGCAGTATTTACATAGAAATAGAATGGAACAAAATTCGGCAGTAATACAAAAATAAAACTTGCACCTTTATGTATTTTTAAGGTAGGGATGGCAGGGGTTTAGGTCTTAGGGAGGGGGGATAGAAAGGTGGAGATTAAATGTTATTATTGTATGGCTGTATGTGTTCTTCAATAAAACATACAACATTATAATGAAAACATGTAAATATATAGATTTTGTGATATTATAAAAGGTTTTACTGCATAATAGTGAATGATACTGAAGACCATATTGCTCTATTGAGTGTCTAAAAGTGCCATTTGTTTTTTGCAATTCGTTGCACTTGTATGTGTTTATCTTCAGAGGTCATTATGCCAACCCCAATTAAGTGCCTTTTTGTTTCATTTATCAATTCTATGGTTGCCTTTCTCTTCAGACCCCTCAGACGATGAGTGGGAGGAGGAGTCGAGCAGCGATGAGAGCGACCTGGGTCCGGAGGGTCTGTGTGACGGAGTCTCCAATCTCATGTCTCCTCTGTGTTTATCAGCGGAGATTCACGACGCTTTGATCAACCACAACATCCCAGAAAAGGCAAATACATTTATATATTTGATCAATTACGGCCTGTGTCCAAATTGCGTCGGTTTTTAGCAGGAAAGACGCTCCATTTTGATGTTTTGAAGAGTACAAAACCTCTGTTGGAGAACCATTGTATCTTTCCTTTTTAATGTATTTACTTAGTATGTATTTTCAGTATTGGTACCACGCTGAAGACGGCTGCTCTCACACTTTGTATGAATGAGCTTCACCGCTCAATCAGACAGCTGTAGAGCGAGTAGAATGATCCACCTACGGAGATAAAAGTACAATATCTGTCGATCTAATCCAACAAATGCGATGATAGTTTCTCTCTGACATTAAAATCAGGATAGAAAACGCGTCCGTAAACTGTTTCCAAATGGCGTCTGTTTTTAGCAGAAATAACGCTCCAAGTTTGAAGATTTGAAGTTTCTTTGAGTACAAAACCTCCTTCTTTATATATCTACTTACTATGTTTTTCAGTATTGGTACCAAGCACAATATTTGTCGATCTAATCCAACAAATGCACTTATCAGTCTTTGTGATGATAGTTTCTCTCGGGATAGAAAACACGGCCAAAACTAGATCCTAGATTTTCTACAGCCATTTGACCGTTGCTCTTCTGAAATGTTTAGATAATTACAACTAGTTTGAGTTTGGCACAAATCAACAAAAAGGCCTCATGTGAAAGCATACTCTCTCTCCTTTCTGGGAACACTTTATAAAAGACGCTTTGGCTCAGAAAAAGTCGCTATGAACACACACCTTCATTAGCTAATAGGGGTGTAACGGTTCACAAACATTTCGGTTCGGTATGTGCCTCGGTTTTTAGGTCACGGTTCGGCTCGGTACGTTTTCGGTACAGCAGAAAAAATGATCACAAAACATAACATATATTTTTTTAAATGATTATTAAACTGTGAATAATGTATTCACTCAAATAAATACAAAATATAATAAAATAAACATTAAGGTGCAGCTTTTCGATGAACTGAAATCATCTGTATTTGAACTAGTACCTAAGCAGCCAGTTTGACATTAGGACTTGCTTGTCATTGTATGTTCATGTTTTTTTAAAGAAAGATGAACTTGTCCACATTGCTTGCTGAAAGGGCAGATCTGCTGGCACTAACAATGTCTCCTGCTGTGGAGAAAACCCTCTCGCTAGGGACAGAGGTAGCAGATACAGCCAGGTAGCGCTTTGCTAACATGGCAACATAAGGATATTTGGTGTTTGTAATAGCTTTAGCTCAGTCTGAACTTGTTGCGAGTGGTGGAGGCTTACATGCTAGCGGGAGTTGGGTTTGCACTTCAGTCTTTTGGTACCGGTGATATTCACGTTCGGGTGATGCCTTTTCAAATGAGTGTGATGTATTGCCAGCCGCGTAACCAATGTTAGTTGAACAATGCCGACAAACAGCTTTGGTTCGGTCCACCTGTCTTTGTCCTTCATCCTTGTGTAACTGCGAAACCAAAATGTTCCCAAACCGGAGACTTCAATGATGCTGGAGGATTTTCAAGCTCAACTTTATCTGCGTTCGCCATTTCGACAGTTCCTCAAATTACTGACTACATTTGAACGCATCCCTGTCACCAGCTCTCATAGTATGCCTCTCGTCCAATGAAATGACTTGCTCGCTCTAGGACGCGTTGAACCCAATGTGAGCAAATTACTCTGAACGGTACACACGTGTACCGAACCGAAGGGCCCGTACCGAATAATTTCGGTACGTGTACCGTTACACCCCTATTAGCTAATAGCTCTCAGAGAAAAAGAGTCACAAAATGATCAGATAAGCATGTGACAGGGTGTCCGTGGGGTCTTAAAAAGTATTACATTTGACTTCAGGATTCCTGCATATACCCTGTGTGAATGTAATCATACTGTCATTTAAAAACCTCAAAATATGGTTTTAATTGTGCAGCGAACACTTCTCCCTGAGGCTGACAGGTCGAATTACTTAAAGGTCACCTATCATGCTATTTTTAGGCAATAGCATAGGTCTCAGATATATACAAATATATAAAAAACATGTCTATGAAGTGTTTTGCTCAACATTTCATTTCATTTCCAACCTTTATTTATCCAGGTGTATCCCATTGAGATCATTGATCTCTTTTTCAAGGGAGACCTGCTCAAGTAGGTTCCACATGAAACATAAAAACATAAACAGAACAACAAAAAGGACATCATACAGCATCATAAAAAAAAAATACCAAATCAGATCACCCATCTAGCCATGCCTCATATCCCTCCATTTCACTTCCTGTTTCAAAAGTGCTGATTTGGGTATAAAGCGTTAAAAAAAATAAAAAGGAGGGGTCTGAGCTCATGCGGGACCCAGCAGCTACTGTCTAAACTAAATGCTGCCGTGATGAAACGCCATATCATGGATTATCAAGGATTCTCTCTGAAACAGTCTGGAGCTCAAAGGCTTTCTCTCTTGCCGGTTATACCACAAGGTGAGTTCCTTTTTACTTCCTGCTTCTTCACACACATGCTCTCCAGCACAGGTTAGCTCTGAGTGTTAGCGATGCTAATGTAAACACCGACCATATTACGTCCAAAACAGTCGGGCATTGTTTCTGATAGCAACGTTTCTGATTGGGCCGTGGGTCCACATTTCAGATATTACGTCATATCGGACGCAATATCTGGATCAGCTCCGTTGTTCCCCGTTTTTAGAGATTTGGGTACGGAGGAAAAGAGAGAGGGTTTTATTTTCTGACGATGCGTGAGTTCCCCGACACACCAGGGACACATGTTTATGTATAGAAGACATCAAAAAGTGCATTTTGCATGATAGGTCCCCTTTAACTGTGAAATTAAAGAGATTTTTTATTATGAAACTGCACTAAATTGTATTATGATGTAATATCTTTTTTTCTCCTTTCCAGGTCCTCAAAAAGACGGAGATCCCTAGAAAGGAAGCTATGGATGTGTGCCGTCAGAACTCCTCCTGGAAAGGCATGATCAAAAAGTAATCCTCTCACTTCTCATAATTATTTTTAACTTTAAAACAAGGTTTAAGGTTTCTGAGTTGGAAATGTTATGCCTCTTTAATCTGGTACTTGTTGGAAGTGTAAGGAATTTGTGGCTCTTGAATGAAAGGTTATCACTGAACCACAGTTAGGTCAATATCAACAGGTACATTCAAAAACTTGGTAACGAAATATACCATGGTATAAAAACATGTTTTTTAGTTCAATAGATAAATAGTTTGTATAAGGTTAAGTATAGTTCATTTATATATCACATTTCAGATATTAAGGCTATTCAAAGTGCTCTAGATAAGCATTTAGACAAAACAGATGAACGAAGAAAAAAAGGGTTAGATATAATACAAAATGAACATTGGAATTACATAAATTACTGCAAAAGTGTAATAACATATTTTTAGATGGCATACAGAAAAGCAAGGATTTTAGCCTTGATTGTAAAATAAACGTAACTAAATAATTGCGCTTTAAAACCCATTGATGTGATTTAAACACTTAACAAAGACATTTTGGGAGGGTAAATGAATTATCACTCAACTATGACAACAGTTAGCTCAATATGTCAAAAATCCTCTATCACAAAGTAGATCATTTCATATCTTGATAACGAATGATATCACAATATAAACTGGCAAGCCCGAAGGTTGCAGTTCTTCTTGACATTTGTTTTACTGGCCTCATGACGACCATGTTGACTGTTACTTTGGTACCTGTCATTAAAGGTCCCATGTCATGGCCATTTCTACTGATCATAATTCCATTGTTGAGCTCTACTAGAATAGATTTACATTGTTCAATCTTCCAAACTCACATTGGTTTCTCATACAGCATCTCTGTATAGTATGTGTATTCAGTCTCTGTCCTACACGCCTTGTTGGAGCTCCTGCCCCCCCCTCCCTATGAGCCCACTGTGCTCTGATGTGTGTGAATGTGTTACAATGGCGTTAGCCACCAGAAAATGGCACCAGTAATGACAAACAGATGAGAATGCTGCATGGGGTCTGGGTGCCGTGTTGGCGGGACGTTGCGGGGCTCGCTGCTGCGAGGAGCGGACAGTGTGAGCTGGATTACTGGTGTTGTTTCCTGGCTGCTGCGTGGGGTCTGCGAGACACAGCGAAACCCACCCCGAACCCAGCCCGAGCACACACACACACACACCCGCAGCCTGGCTGTGAGTCTGTGTGCGCACACACACACACACACCCGCAGCCTCCCCGCGTCCTGCCGTATCAGGCTGAGAAATCCGTGGAGCTGCAGCTGAGAAGATATTTAGTGTGTGATGAAGTCCGCGAATTGGTCCAAACGTAACGTCACTATACCCAGGAAGAAAAAGAAAAATCTCCAACGAGGCGTTCTGGGGCAGCACAGACAGGTCTTTTCTGTGTTAGAGTTTTACTCGCGACAGGGTGTACTTTGAGGGTTTGTGACTCTGCAGACCGTTTACATGCAGAAAAACCTTCATAACACACAAGGGGACGGGTAATAACCAGAAAAGCATGACATGGAACCTTTAAGGACAAAGAGGGCAAGGTAGGGAGCTTGGATAATTATAGACCAATTGCTCTAGCCAGTGTGTTATCCAAAGTCCTGGAAAGAATTTTGTTAGACAGATTATGTTCTTATTTATGTATCTCAGATAACCAGTTTGGCTTCAAGGCTAAGCATGGTACTGAGCTATGCATCTATGCTTTGAAGGAAATGGTAGAAACATATAGAAACAGAATTCCACTGTTCTGAGTGGTTTCATTGATGCCTCTAAAAGGCTTTTGACCGAGTTAACCATCATAAACCGTTTTTAAAATTGAAACAGGGGTGTGCCCAACAGTATAATTAGGATCCTGGCTTATATGCCAACCAGAGCATGCGGATAAAATGGGGGAATGCAGTCTCGGCGCCATTTGGTGTTGGTAATGGAGTCCGCCAGGGGGGGCTCCTCTCACCATGCCTTTTTAATATCTTTATGAATGATCTATCGGATGATTTAAGTGGCTGTAAAGCAGGATGTGTGATCAGTAATGTGATTGTAAACCATCTTATGTATGCCGACGATCTGGCTATTGTTTCTCCTAGCAGTGCTGGATTTCAACGGCTGCTAAATATATGTTCTGATTATGGTGTCAAATTTGATGTTAAATACAATGCTAAGAAGAGCGCTGTAATGATCTGCAAAGCAAAAGGGGATAAGAACCTTGGTTTTCCAATATTCTATCTGTCAGGGCAGGAGCTGTCTGTTTGCTGCAAAACTAAGTATCTGGGACACATCACAGATGAAATGGCTGATGATGATGACATGTATAGACAGCAGCGTGTCTTAAACACACAAGCTAACATGTTGGCTAGAAAATTCTTTTGGTGTTCAGATAAGGCTCTTAACGGTACGTCCACACGGCAGGGTCGCGTGCTTCAACGGAGACGCTTCCCATTCACTGTGACGTCAGGCTTTGCCGAACTGCATTGTGGTTCCGTCGCGTCACTTTGCTCGCTTCAAAAGTTGAACTTTTCAAGCTTCGACGGAAGCGTCAGCCAATCGAATCATATGCCAGTACAAGTGCTAGCCAATCAAACCGCGTGCTTGTGTGTCTGGGGCGGGAGATGCATGTGATTGGTTGTTGGTCGAGTTTCAGCCCCCCCCGCCGGCAAGCGACAACGCACGCCGCTGTGTGTAGGGGCCGTTAGAGCTTATTGTACTCCTCTTTGTACTGCCTCCTTGTGGGTCAAGTTTAAGAAGGCGAAGCTCCAGGTTGCTTATAATGGTTGTTTGCGTATACCCTTAGAAAACCAAGGTGGTGCAGTGCAAGTGAAATGTTTCATAATGCACCCAATTTTAATTGATGGATTCATTCTAAGAACTTGAGTGCAAAATAAACATAACCAATTCAAATGAAAAGAAATAAAAACATCTAAACGTAGCTGATAATGTAGAAAAATATGTCCAGTAAACATTTGTATATATGCCTTAACATCAGCCATCGTTTCCTCTGGATAGTCAGCGGTAAACGGAGGCCTTTTAATGAAGCTGTAAAACACAATTCTGACTGAATTCATTGACCCCATTAATTCACTTTAGTGCAAAATGAACCTAACAGATTCAAGTAAAAAAACATCTAGACGTAGCTGATACCGCGACACAATAAATGTAGAAAAATATGTCCAGTAAACATTTCTATATATCGTTTAGATGTTTTTAAACCCTCATATCACAAATCAAAACTCACCTTTTCAGAACTGCTTGAATCTGTACTTAAAGATGGGGTAGGTAATTCACTTCAGAAACACTTGTTGTATTCCATGGAATGCTCTTCACATCCCGATAGCAATGATACATTAAATGCTTTGACAATAAATTAGGGATGCTCCGATCGCCAATTTCGGGGCCGATCGCCGGAATCAGTATTGGCCGATACCGATCGCCGATCCTATCAAGTGGGCAGGGCCTAAATGTAAGATTTAAACATCACTTTAAATGGAAGATTTAAAGTGATGTTTAAATCTTACATTTAGGCCCCGCCCCACTTGTTTAAAACTCAGTTAATGGGGCTCATTCACTGGAGCTTCCACAAACAACAATCAACTTAATTATTACATTCAAATGATGTACATTATTCAAGTTTACATTCACTTTGGATAATAACACGGGAGAAGAGAAATGAGTGGAAGCGCTCTCTTTTCCTCTCTCTCTCTCTCTCTCTCTCTCTCTCTCTCTCTCTCTCTCTCTCTCTCTCTCTCTCTCTCTCTCTCTCTCTCCTGACAGCCTGTCAGTATCTCATGCAGCTCACTGATCCAGTAATGAGAGACCCGACAGTGAAGAATAAACATATGTATAACTAGTTTAGCTTGTTCCAGAGGTAGATAAACTAGCTAAGTGTGTTAGGTCTAACTCTCAGTGTGTGTTGCTCCGCTCACCGGTCCGTCACAGCGGGCGGAGCTGCAGGATTTCTGCTTCACACACGTTGCAACCGCTATTTTACTGTCATTTTCGGACACCTTAAAATAATTCCCTACCTGTCAGCCTTCCATCTGTGCACAAACTTATCTCGTGCCCTCATTGGTCATGTGTGCGTTCGTGTGTGTTGGAGGAGGGGCTCTGTAAGGAAGTCTGAAGGAAGGGGCAGATTTTTTCCGGTTGTGTACTTTCAAATTCTAGCGCACTCGAGCTGGTATCTCCATTCTTACCTACCCAACCTTTAATGTTGTGTTTTATGTTTTTTTAGTGTGTAGTTTTTATGTATTTTAACATGTAAAGTGTATTTGAGTACCATGAAAAGTGCTCTATAACTAAAATGTATGATTATTATTATATTGCCCAGCCCTAACCTCAGCCATCTTTCCCCCCCCCCCCCCCCCCCCCCCCCCCCCCCCCCTCCAGGATGCAGCGTGTTCAGTCCCGCGCTCTGACCTGCCTCCACAGTCTCGTCTCCAGCATGGACGCAGACTCTCTGGGCGGAGCAGCTGCTCTGCAGGCGGCCGCGCAGCACCTCTCCACGCTGGTGTTCGGAGCAGCAGGTTCGCACTCAGTACATTTTCTTTAGCTGACGAGTTATCTAAAGCGACTTAAGGCCCAGGCACACCGAGCCGATTTCGGCCAGTCGATAGATGTCTTCTTCTCTCGGTTATCAAGCAGTCTGTCTTCCGGTTGTTGCCTCTTTTGAATGATGAATACACACTACCGCCTCCTGCTGGTAAGGAGAGTTATTGCCACTCACGCATGCACAGTTCGTACGTGCTACTTGGCCGTCGGCTGAAGTCTTTGCGGTGTGTTGCAGAGCGACTGTTGGCCAAGACGCAGGAGGCGTGAGGCGACACACCAGTCGGGTCCGTCGGGACGTGTTCTTTGGTGTCAGATTGGTGTGTCAGGGCCTTTACAGTAAGGGGCATCCATGAAGAGGAAACGCACTCAAAACAGCAAGAATCCTCACAGTAAATTAGCTTTTAATAAGATAAACTTGTTCAACCGCTGAATATAGCAGGTTTTTTACGTATTATTATTGGCCACAGTGCAGTCGAAACAGGTTGGTTTTTATTCATAGACGGGAGATGTGTAGACTTTCTGCTGTCCTGATATCAAAGATGAGCTTGTTCTACCATTTAGGAGCCAGGATAGCAAACGGATGTGTTCGGAGCAGCAGGTTTGCACGCATTACATTACGTTTCCGTTAAACGTTTATCTAAGTCAGTGTTTCTCAAACTCTTTCATACCAAGGACCACTTAACCAATAAAAAAACACTCGCGGACCACCTAACTCCACAAATATCCAAAAACACATCGTTTTTTTAGAACAGATTACAAATCGCCTGAAAATGGTACAAACAAGTGGCAACATGTGTGACGAAGGTGTTGCGCTGGGCTATATCATGCAATCGAAAGTGAAACGTAAGCTCGCTCCATTGCGGAGATATTCCCGCGAGAGTGCGGAAAACTTAAATAAATAAATGTATTTAAAATGTGAAATGTTACCAATATACTCACGGACCACTAGGGGGCGCTCACGGACCACCAGTGGTCCGCGGACCACACTTTGAGAAGCACTGATCTAAAGCGACTTAAAGTAAGGGGCATCCACGATGAGGCAACACTCTAAACAGCAAGAATCACATGAACTTTTAATATGATCATCTTTCACGGTCAACTTGTATATACTTTACTTTTTAGTTCTGTTATATTTTCTATTTTGACATTCTACTCTATTATTTCAAATTATGTGCAATGCCTTTGTTTTAACATGTTGTAACGAAAGCCTTTCCCAATTTAGGATCAATAAAGTACATCTTATAAACTTGTTAAAGTGCTGAATACAGCAACAGCTTTTTTAAATAATTGTTGTATTGGCCCAGGTGCAGTCGAAACAGGTGTTCTTTCATAATTCACAATAAAACTAAAGTAGACCAATGATGTGTATTCCTAAAATGATCAGTGGAAGCAGTATAGTGATGTACAATGTAGGTTTTTATTACATCTGTTTACTTAGTACAATCTCGCGTTTCAGAGATCCCCAAAGATGAGGAGTTCCTGGAGGCCGTCATCAGCGCCATGAGGTCTCTTCTACAGATGATCGCCTCTAAAAATATCACCCAGGTACAGAACACCCCACAAGCTTCAGTCTTTACTTTGTGATTTCAATCTTCATGTGTCATTTTAACAGAGATGGCAAAAGTAGAAGTACAGATACTTGTGTTTAAACATACTCTGGTAAAAGTAGAAGTACTGACTAAACTTCTTTACTCAAGTAAAAGTAAAGAGGCTTTGAAATGTACTTCAGTAAAAAGTACCCATAACTACCAGCTGTTTTAAAGAGTACCTGACCTCCCTTTATATTAATAGAGCAATAATGTCATTGTTAGCTAATGAATGTTTCCATGCTGAACAACGGCAACATGACAACGTTTCCATTGGTCCCTCTTCTTTAGAGAAGACCAGGAAATGATGGATACACGGATCGTGTTCAAATCAATAGGCACGCAATGACTCTAAAGAATAATGATCACGCATCAAACACACATTCAGACTAAAGGAACCAGCTGTTTGGAAGATGAGAGAAGTAGAAAGTACAGGTATTTGTGTTCAACATGTAAGAAGTAGAAAGTACAGGTATTTGTGTTCAACATGTAAGAAGTAGAAAGTACAGGTATTTGAGTTCAACATGTAAGAAGTAGAAAGTACAGGTATTTGTGTTCAACATGTAAGAAGTAGAAAGTACAGGTACTTGAGTTCAACATGTAAGAAGTAGAAAGTACAGGTATTTGTGTTCAACATGTAAGAAGTAGAAAGTACAGGTATTTGTGTTCAACATGTAAGAAGTAGAAAGTACAGGTATTTGAGTTCAACATGTAAGAAGTAGAAAGTACAGGTATTTGTGTTCAACATGTAAGAAGTAGAAAGTACAGGTATTGTGTTCAAACATGTAAGAAGTAGAAAGTACAGGTATTTGAGTTCAACATGTAAGAAGTAGAAAGTACAAGTATTTGGGTTCAACATGTAAGAAGTAGAAAGTACAGGTATTTGGGTTCAACATGTAAGAAGTAGAAGTACAGGTATTTGTGTTCAAAATGTAAGAAGTAGAAAGTTCAGGTATTTGTGTTCAACATGTAAGAAGTAGAAAGTACAGGTATTTGAGTTCAACATGTAAGAAGTAGAAAGTACAAGTATTTGAGTTCAACATGTAAGAAGTAGAAAGTACAGGTATTTGTGTTCAACATGTAAGAAGTAGAAAGTACAGGTATTTGTGTTCAACATGTAAGAAGTAGAAAGTACAGGTATTTGAGTTCAACATGTAAGAATTAGAAAGTACAGGTATTTGAGTTCAACATGTAAGAAGTAGAAAGTACAGGTATTTGGGTTCAACATGTAAGAAGTAGAAAGTACAGGTATTTGTGTTCAACATGTAAGAAATAGAAAGTACAGGTATTTGGGTTCAACATGTAAGAAGTAGAAAGTACAGGTATTTGGGTTCAAAATGTAAGAAGTAAAAGTAAAAAGTCGTCAGCAAAATAAGTAGTGGAGTAAAGTACTAATACCAGAAAAATGTACTCAAGTACAGTAACAAAGTATTTGTACTCCACTACTTCCCACCTCTGCATTTTAAATAGTTATTCTTTGTATTCTTAAGACTTTGTATGTTATATCAAATCCACTGCCAGTTCTCACTAACCACTATTGACTGATATGTTCTTTGTTTTCTCAGTGTATGACCCCCCAGCAGCTGATGAGCCTGAGTGAAGCCGCCACCCGCTGCGATGTCGTCAGTGTGAGGGTGAACGCTGTCGCTATTCTGGGCATCACCGGCAGCACGTTAGCCAAAGAGAAGGGCACTGCTGAGACCCTTCAGGTATAAAACTCCTCCTGCAATATCTGTCCTTCCTTTACACACCAAACGCTGAAATCAGAGAAGTGTCTCCTCACGATCTTAGGCGACGAGGTGTGTGGCGCAGTGGGTTGTGAGTTGGTGTTGGGATCAGGGGGTCACAGGTTCAAACCCCACTGCAGTCAGCATGTCGTTGTGTCCCTGAGACACTTCACCCCAAATTGCTCCTGTGGGGATTGTCCACAGTATTGAGTATGTAAGTCGCTTTGGATAAAAGCGTCGAACAAGTGACATGTAATGTAATCTTAGTCTTAATCTTGGCCAAAAAGTCTAATTTGGACCCAACACAAAGACTACATCCAACCTATCACATACGTTCTGCTCCTGCGTGAACCATTCTCTAACAGGACTGAAATAGAGGGATATGAGGGATGTCTAAAATGCATGATCTGTTTGGTATTTTGAGCAAAACACATCAAAGACATGTTTTTTATATATCTGAGACCTATAATATATGCCTAAAAATAGCGTGATAGGAGATCTTTAAGACAGGGGACACATATTTATGTATAAAAGACCTGGAAAAGTGGATCTTGCATAATAGCTGACTTTTAAGACAAAGCAAATGCACAAAGAGAATAAGGGGTGGCCTTACTTAAAGGTGGGGTAGGTAAGTTTGAGAAACCGGCTCGAGATACACTTTTTGTTATATTCCATGCAATGCTCTTAACATCCCGATAGCAATGAATATCTGAAGTGCTTTGACAAAAAATCCATAAAAAAAGCCGTAGTACTGTAAAAAGTACAACATACATTGGATTGCCGCCCTATCTGTCAGCCTTCCATCTCGTGCACGCACAAATGTATCTCGTGCCCTCATTGGGCGTGCCGTAATTGCGCGTTCATGTGTGTTGGAGGAGGTGCTCTGTAAGGAAGTCAGAAGAAAGGGGCGGATTCTTTTCGGCTGTGTACTTTCAAATTTTAGTGCACTCGAGCCGGTTTCTGAAACTTACCTACCCCACCTTTAAAAATGAACATTGGAAATACATGAATTGATGCAAAAGTGTAATAATACAACATTATTTGACATCTGGAAAAACAAGGATTTTGGCCTCGATTTCAAATAACATAACAAAATAATTGCTTTAAAGGTGTCCTATCATGCAAAATGCACTTTTTGATGTCTTTTACACATAAATATGTGTCCCCGGTGTCAGGGAACTCACAAAGTGTAAAAAATAAAACCTTGTCCTTCCTTTACACGCCCTGACACACCAAACCCTGAAATCAGAGAAAAGTGTCTCTTCCCGATGTCTTCATTTGGCCAAAACGTCTCATTTGAACACAAGGCAAAGACTATCAACTACATCCAACCTATCACATGTGTTCTGTTCCTGCGTGAGAGGAAATAACTCTTCACACTAGCAAGGGCCGGGGACTGTTTTCAATATTCAAAACGTTAATCGGAAAACAAAGGTCTATTGAGTAGTGCAAGAGTCCTAAAACCTTGACAATACTTGGCATTTTACCACTCGTCTCAAAGTCAATGGTTTCCCAACATTTCTCTCACCACACCTACTCGCCAGTACACTTTCTTTAAAATAATATACAGTGCTTACTCTTAAGAGAAGGTAGTAGAAGCACAGTCAAGAAATACTCCATTCAAGATATGACTTAAGTAAAAGAACAGGATCAAAATGTACTTTTAGTATCCAAATCAAGCATCCTCATTTTGCAAGTGTTTTGAGTGTTTTAGTTATTATAGAATATAATTCTGTTTTGACCAACATACAGACACAGAGTTTTCTATAGTTGTAGCATGTGTCAATATGGAAAACATTGTGTAATATTTAGTAGATTAGTTGTATATTTATCAGAGTCCTAAAACCTGTTCTCAAAGTCAATGGCTTTCCAACATTCCTCTCACCACACCTACTCGCCACATACAGTTTCTTTGAAGACGGCCATATCGGTCTGGAAATATTAGTATCAGATGATGAGAAATAGTAAGAGACTCTTGATTTGAGTCCTTGCTTGTTTATCTTGCTTCTGTCAGGGCTTTAATAATCTGTTCTCCCACAGATGATTGGAAGCGCTTTACTTCAAGTCTCCACGAAGGACACCGACCTGGTTGTGAACGGAGAAGCTCTGGACGCTTTGTTCGATGTCTTCGCGGACGGAGACGAGGCGGAGACGGCTGCCAAAAACATTGCGTTACTCCCCGCACTGAAGGCCCTGCAACCCCATCTTTAAAGCCAAGGTACCAGAGACGTCTTACCAGGGGTGGACAGTAACTAAGTACATCAACTAGAGCAGGGGTTCCCAAACTTTTCAGCCTGCGACTCCCAAAATAACAGTGCCAGAGACTGGCGACCCCCCGCCACGTGAATTGTCAACCTTGAGCCTCGCTGCGGAGACATTCTACAGATGGCCAGTCCGCCCCTGAAAAATTTCTATGCACACGTTATTCATTTTTATTTTTTAATCATCTCGCGACCCCCACTTTGGGAAACCCTGTACTAGAGTACTGTACTTAAACTTTACTCCATTTAATGCCACTTTGAACTTGTACTCCAGTACATCTCACAGGAACATTTTGAATTTTTTACTCCAGTTTGATAACTCAATGTTTGTAGTTACAACTTATTATATTAATAACATGATTCATATTAAGATATATACAACTTATCTACTCAGTATTATACAAAGTATCCAACATTTGCTCCATATTGACACATACTAGGGGTGTAACGGTATACGTACCTGTACCGAAATCATTCGGTACGGGCCCTTCGGTTCGTTACACGTGTGTACCGAAGTGTACCGAACGAATATCACGTTAAACGTAAAAAATTGAGAACGTGAACAACTTTTTGGAAGTAATCTCAGGTGAGCGTCGCAGCATTCAGAGTAATTTGCTCACATTGGGTTCAACGCGTCCTAGAGCGAGCAAGTCATTTCATTGGACGAGAGGCATACTATGAGAGCTGGTCACAGGGATGCATTCAAATTTAGTCAGTAATTTGAGGAACTGTCGAAATGGCGAATGCAGATCAAGTTGAGCTCGAAAATCCTCCAGCATCATTGCAGTCTCCGGTTTGGGAACATTTTGGTTTCGCAGTTACACAAGGATGACGGACAAAGACAGCTGGACCGAACCAAAGCTGTTTGTCGGCATTGTTCAACTAACATTGGTTACGCGGCTGGCAATACATCAAACTTGCACACTCATTTGAAAAGGCATCACCCGAACGTGAATATCACCAGTACCAAAAGACTGAAGTGCAAATCCAACTCCCGCTAGCATGTAAGCCTCCACCACTCGCAACAAGTTCAGACCGAGCCAAAGCTATTACAAACGCCAAATATCCTTATGTTGCCATGTTAGCAAAGCTCTACCTGGCTGTGCTACCTCTGTCCCTAGCGAGAGGGTGTTCTCCACAGCAGGAGACATTGTTAGTGCCAGCAGATCTGCCCTTTCAGCAAGCAATGTGGACAAGTTCATCTTTCTTTAAAACAACATGAACATACAATGACAAGAAAGTCCTAATGTCAAGCTGGCTGCTTAGGTACTAGTACAGTACAGTTCAAATACAGATTATTTCAGTTCATCGAAATGCTGCACCTTAATGTTTATTTTATTATATTTTGTATTTATTTGAGTGAATACATTATTCACAGTTTCATAATAATTAAAAAAACCCAAAAAATATTTTATGTTTTGTGATAATTGTTTCTGCTGTACCGAACCGTGACCTAAAAACCGAGGTACGTACCGAACCGAAATGTTTGTGAACCGTTACACCCCTAACACATACTACAACTATATTAAACTCTGTGTCTGTATGTGTTGGTGAAAACAGAATTATATTCTATATTAACTAAAACACTAAAGTATTTTTGCAAAAGGATGACTTTTGATTTGGATATTTTAAGTACATTTTGCTCCGGTTCTTTTACTTAAGTAACATTTTGAACAGAGTATTTATTAACTATGGCTGTACTACATTTTCTTAATAATTTAGTAATTTAATTTAATTTGACTAATTATTCATAATTTCCATTCGTCCTTTGAGGACTTTTATCCCGTCCCTCACACTAGTTAACAATTTGTTCTGCCTCTTGTATTGCTTACAAATTATTTACGGCTTTGAATTAACCATAACACCTAAACTGATTTTTTAAATAAACAAAATGAGAAAAATGTGTTCCGATATGATGTGACATATGCTTATTTTATATTCCTTCTAGATTCGTAAAGAGGGAAGAGGCAAGTACAGCCCGCAGCAGCTGTGTGTGCTGGACAACATCAAAGTGAACCTGAGGAGATTCATCGGTTACCTGGAGAAAGTGGTGAAGAAGTAACGGGCGCTGGACCTCACGATGGTGTGGACAGAGATGCTAACGGTAGCATCAAAAGAATCAGACTGTGGTTGTGAAACCATCAAATATTTATTATGTTGGTAGTAAGCCGCCTGTTTCAGTGTTAATATTCTCAAAATAATAATGATTGACTATTTTACCTGTATTTGTTGTGAAGAAAGACAGGATTATTTTAGTTATTAGTTTTACTGCAAGTGGCAGTAAAGAAAGATTTGTATTTGTCCTCCCTTGATTTAAATGTGACAATCAGGACCAAAAGAAATTGGCTTGCATTTGAAGAGAGAAATAAAAAATGACTGTCATTTTAATATCGTACGAAGCTACCTATCCTCACTGCCAAGGTGTTAACATACATTTTTACCATTAGGAGGAACACATTTTCTCACAATCCAGGCCCCCTGTTTTCACGGAGAGCTGAATTTGTGAATGTATTTTTGTGAAACGTTTCAGTCTGCAAGTCACCACAGAAACCCATTTTCTGCTGAAAGCATTTTTTCAGGAACAAATATCAATTATGAATGAAATCAATTATCATCCAAACTTGCTGCTACAACTCAGAATACGGTTCTATAACTGCAGGTTTGAAATATGTAAATAGAGGGTAGTAGTGCCATATTTTTGCACCTGATCCAAAGTGTATCATGCTTTGAGTTTCTGACAAAGTTAACTTATAAGCTCTCATTAATTAATGCGTTCAATGCTCAAATTGAATGGTGACTTTAAACCATAAATACAATTTTCCTAAAGATCAAAATGAAGTGCGTGATAGTTATTTCTTACGTTGTAAGAGTCGAGCACAGCTTCTCTGGGTTCCCACAAGTTTTCAGGGACATGTTGATAAAAATGCCTATCATTAATATAAAAACACATTTCAAAGAACATGTCGGGGGGGTTTATGTCTTTGGGATGGGATTGAATGCCTTTTTGAAATAAATCCTGATTTCTTAAGCATTGTCTAACGTGTTTTCTTGTTATTATTTGAATAATAACAATCTCCACACGTATTATCTGGGATTTCTCCATCCCTGATAATGCACTTTTTACTCAACTACATTAATCTGACAGTTTTCGTTACTTTTGAAATTCATATTATATAGAAACAAATCTAAATTAATTAATTAATTGTGATAAATTATTTAAGGTTAAGATACCTTGCATTTTGTAAGTCATACAACAATATCTCCATCTGTATGAGATGCAACATTTATGTGATGCACATAAATCCACTAATAATCCAATCAACATGATGATTAAATAGGCAATGTAAGTATATTTTGATGCTTTGGGCTTTTACTTGGTTACCATGTGCTTGTACAGTAATAGATTGTTCTATATATATAGTATAGATATTTTTAATTAAGTAAAACATCAGGCCACTTTTGCCATTACTGTATGTTAACAATAACCCCGGTTCAATCAGAATCAGAAATACTTTATTTTAAGATTCAGAAAATGGAGTAAAATATTTATACAAACATACAAGTAAGTATGTGCACAATAAAAATACTATAAAATATGTATATGAAGAACATAATAATTAAAAGTTAAAATACCAGTCCATTGACTCAGAGTGGCTGACAGACTGAGGGAGGAGTTGAAGGCCACAGGCAGTGCGAGTAAATAAAACATGTTTTTCTTCATAGTTCTCTTTCTTTACACCTGGTCCATTCCCTCCCGTGATGACAGAATAATAAATCTCACGTCGTTATGTAACAAAAAACCCCACAGTTGTCTGTTGCGTAACCACTCTGTCCCCGCCCCCTTTTTTTCCACGCACCCCGCGCATGCGCAATGTCCCCCTACACTTCGCCATTGAGTTAAGGAAAGGGTCAGAGAGCCACTTCTTCGACAGGCAGCAGCTGCACGTTTCTACACTCTCACACTTCTCCATTAACCTGCATTTTTACCACTTGACTCACAACATTTAGTCCTGTGGATTCTCTAGGTTGTCAACCGCGTATCGTCACCACTACGGAGCGTGTTTTGTTTTTTTTCTCACCGGATTCTAGAAGTAACGGGCGGCTGAGAACCTGAGCTAGCAGGCTAGGTGGCTAACGGTTAGCTAGCGACCTGGCTAGCTGCACACGCTGAGGGGTAAGGGGTGTGCGGGGGGAGGGCTACTCGCCTACTACTGTGTCACAACGTTTGATGGATCCGAGGATCGCCTGGTTTCAACCGGAACAACGTGGACCAGCCAACAACCTGTGGATGCAGATTTGGGAAACGACACAAGGGCTCGGCTACTTGCATGTGAATAACAGCGCCGGATCTCAGAGCACGTCGAGCCGCCTGCAAGCGCTTGTCAACGGGGCGTGTGGAGTCAGAAACGGGGCACTGAGTGACTCAAACAGGACTCCGGGGATGTCATCCTCAAGGGGGAACGGGGACTTCACGGCGCAGCGGGACTTTATACCACTGGACATTAATAATAGCAACCAGAACAACCGAGGAGTCGGTGTCAGGCAGCAGGGCGGTGTCGGCGGCGGCGGAGGGGGGCAGCAGGGCGGCGGGGTCTCCGGGCTGTGGAACGGACACCCCAACAAAAGGAAACGAGACAACAAAGCTAGCACTTTTGGGTTCAATTCCAGCCTCTTGAACAGTGGATCCAACACAGGAGGCTGTGATGGGTACTCTGGCACGCCATGGAAAGTCAGGAACTACTCAGAGGGGATTATAGGGTAAGAGAGTTTGATAAAGTCACACACACTCACATAGAGAAAGCATTTAAACCCGGGGTTAATGAGCTGTTATTTTCACCTATTTTAAACACTTACACACTGCAATGACATGCAATGGAGAAGATTGGTTGTCAGTCTCACCCCACCCACTTTTCATTCACACCCAGTTGGATAACTTTTGTAGTATCACCCAGTGGTGTTAAGTATCATTTACTCAAGAGAGACTTTACTTGAGTATTTCAATGTTTTACTACTGTGTTCTTCTACCCCACTATAAGAAGTAAACCGTGTACTTTTACTCCACTACATGTGTTTGATACTTTAAGTTACTTTGCAAATAATACTATAGTAACATTGACAAGCTACCCTGCAGTATACCAAGTCATTCAAACTAGCTGCAGCTTTGAGAACACTTTCATGATCAATCATTATAAAACACATCATATATATTATTCTGAAATGAGCCTATTTGCATAATGAGTACTTCTACTTTTGGTACTTTAAGTTTATTTGTATGCTAATACTGTTCTATTTTTACTTCAGTAACATTTTGAATACAGGACTTTTACTTGTAAAAGATCATTCCCACACTCTGGTACTTCTACTTTTACTCAAGTACAAGATCTTAGTGCTTCTCCCACCTTTATGATCTGTGAAATGTAGTCCATGCACACACATTTCAATCCATTATTACACTCATACATCAAGGTTTAGTTGCAAATGTCTTTTTGTGGACAAGATGTCTTTGCCTTAAACAAAGCGAGTGATTATTTATGCTTTATCATAGATTTCAAAGAAGTATGCACCACATCTTGCACAATGCACATTATTCAAACACTTGTGTTTCCTGTTAACCTTTCAACAGAATGTCCTGGCATGAACACACACAAGTTGTTACAAAGCTTTAAACACCTAGGAGGTTTAACCATTTAGGTTTCATATTACTTTTTAAAGCAGAAATAGACACGCCTCCTCTGCACTGCCACAGATATTGCCTCTGGGTATTACTGTATCAACTAAAAATATTCCATGTGTGCTAACATCATGGTGTTCAATGAGGGGTTGCAAACCAAACATTGAATAAAGGAGCATGGACACAGTACAGGTTTGCAGCCTATTAATACTAGTTAAGATGCATATTTGAGTAAACCTGTCACCATTAAGCTGTTTTATATCGAGAAAGCCAATTGAGGGTGTAACAGGGCGTTGCTCCAAACAAGAGTGACACTTTGTTACCAGATGTGGCCCATTTTTCTGGTCCTCCACAAGATATTAGGCTGGCAGTATTTCAGAGGAAGTGAAGAGTTTATGGTTATTGAGAAACTGCTTCTGCTTACAGTGTTGTGAGCAAAGGTTGGTTTGTTCGATATGATGTAAAAGCAGAACACAAACAAAACTTTTAAAGCCATTATCGTGCACTGATTTCTGCAGGGAGCTTTCTGAAAGCTTTGAAAATCTTCATATCTGAGAGGCTGTAAAAAGCATCTTAAAGAAAAGTGCTACATTGATAATCAAATGAGTTGGCCAATAGTTTTTATGTCGATCGACTAACTGTTTGTCGTCTAATCGTAGCAGCTCTTGAGAAATCACTAAATTAAACCAGGCAGGGTGACGGTTAATCATAAATGCTTTTGCAGGGCGTGTGCGTATGGGAATTTAAACTTGAGTAATCTTTTCGGGCATGCTTCATGTGGTTTACTTTTTTATCAGATTTATAAATACATTTTTAAAAAAACACTTCCACTTATTTTTTCATAGTGTGTGCCGGGGGCGTTTCCTGGACCTGGAAACATTCGGGGCTTAGCCCACAGTTCATTAAGGTACATTACGGTACCGGGCGCTACAGTGGAAATGTCTACTGCAACACTCCCCACACGCACACACACACAGTGTACCCGCGACTGTTACAATGAAGCCTCAATAATCAGCTCACGGCATATAAGCAGGGGTCAAGTGGGGGGCAGACCTAACCTCCTCTAGGGGGGTCCTCACCTCCGCCTGGAAATAATTTGTTTTAAATATTGAAGTTAAAAGCATCAATCTGGTGCACTTTGAGAGCAACATTAAGAGATATGGATACATCTCTCAACACCCATATGAAACAGAACTGTAAACAGATTTTCTTTTTCTTTATGGATATTTTACAAATCACTCCCCTGTGACTGTGTAATGCAGGGGTAGCTTCTAGCTTCATGTCGAACACTGACCCCCTGATCCCACCGGAAGCGGCTGCGCGGCGCTGCGACCTCCTCCTGCGTCATAACCCACCAGGCGCGTTTCAAAACGTTGCGGAAGCGGAGCGTCGTGTGTGCAGCCTCGCAGTTGTTGGATGAACGTTCCACTTCCTCGCAGCGCTGCGTCAAAAATAGGATTCATCCTATATTTTAGAAATTCCTTGCGGCGAGGAGCTTCTGGGACGCTTCGAGGCGCGGCGCAGCGCGGCGGGTCTGGTGGAATAGCACCCATTGACTAGAGTGGCCGCGATCGCTAAAATCGCAGCAGCTCAGACGCTCCTCGTGGGATTAGGGGGTGACAGTAAGTCAACATTTCCCAGAGAGCTTTCTTTGAAATCACCTGCTAAAAAACATAACATTTATATTGTATGACAAAGTGTTAATTTAATATCTCTGGCTAGCTATAGCTACTTGCTAACGGTTTAGCTTACCCCCGCGATTCAAAGTAACGTCAACAACGTAGCTGTAATTTATGCTTTGCTTACATGTTCGCATAACTTGGAAGTTTTCTGACATTTACATACCTTGTTTACCTGGCTCAAGTGGTGGCTCTGGGGTTGTTGTGTGAGCCACAGCCAGCCCTTTTTTAAGAAATCTTTTTCTTATGTCCATCTTCAAAAACTCCGAGTCCGACTGACAGTTTAAACATTGTCACAGTCACAGGATAGGTACCTGTCAGCCAATAAAACACGTTTATTTCCATGCAACTCTCTGGTTGGTCTGGTGTCTTGCCTCTGTTGCATTCACTGAACACGGGAAATGACAATCCTGCCGTCCTCTCTAGTGTCATGATGAGGTTCAGGTAAAGCACGGTTAATGTATTATATTATTGAGGGAGAATTATCCGGGGCCTCAGACTGACCTTCTCAGCATGTGTACAGGAAGACTGGCTTTGACATTTCCTATTGTCGCAGAACTAGGTTAATCCTCTACTTCAATAGATGTGTTATTCATTATACAGCGCTTGCATTGAGCAAAATTAGGTCACAAAGTATAATAAACACACGAGACATTTATTAACTTCTTCGTCAGCCTTT